TCTACGAGCTAGCTTAACTTGTAACTAGAAGGTCTGGGATTTGAATTCCGGCAGTGGGATGGGTGCGTAATGATGAAGAGTCCCCGACCAGGCTGACGAAACAGCTGTCGAGTACTCAGGTTCTCTAATTGATATCAGTTTATGGTCAATTCTGAAACACGATGAAATCCCTACAAACTAACTTTTGAAGGAAGATAATTATTGAATTCAGTTAGCTACACGTGAACACACGAGTCTTGTCAACCATATGTTCTTCACTTTTAACTTCTAATGACAGTAAACGTATGCTATATTACTTCTCTGGAAAACTAAATATGGCCATTACTTTCTTATTGATGAAGCTTCCATTATCTTTTGATACAATATCTTCAGTGCACTGACTTAGATACAAACTTTTCCCTCATCATTTCTATCATTATTCCTAATGTATTTGAAGTCTTTAAGTTTTCGTATCGGTGTTGTTTTTTACTCACTGAAGTTTCTAACCTCCCAATCAGCCTATCGTCTTTTCTCAGCTTGATTACTACTTGTTTGCTAGTGAGCTGGAGAATGCTTAAAAGTAATTCAGGGGTGAAGGGGTTGGGGAAATCAAACCTATATCTACGAGTTGATCACCGATTGATATCAGTTAGAGAATCATTGAAATCAGCCACGGAGTACTGAACAGCTGTTTCATCCTAGTTTTGGGAATCATCGCCAGTACATACCTACCGCTAGGGTTCGAATCCAGGACCTTCTGGTTACAAGGCAAGCTGGCTCGTACACCATTCAGCCACTGGGAGCCGATTCAATGACCAGTGCATAAATTCTAACTTCTACCAATTCGTGATTTAGCGTGACCACCAACCAATGTCGTCGGTGGGATATCCATCCTCACACGTGACATCTGGATGGACCTCACTAGTCACGACTTCTCACTAGAACTCCAGGAAACTCCATCACGTAGCAAGTCACTCTCGAGCATCAGATTGATTTTCTATAGTTTGGTTTGTAAGGGTTAGAGCCATTGAACCGAGTCCCAGTGGCTGAATGGTATACGAGCTAGCTTGCCTTGTAACCGGAAGGTTCTGCGTTCGAACCCCAGTGGGTGTGTACTGACGATGATTCCTAAACTAGGATGAAACAGCTGTCCAGTACTCTCTGGCTGGTTTTCAATGGTTCTCTAACTGATATCACACCGTGATCAACTCGTAGAAACAAAACTAATCCTTACAAACCAAACTATAGAAAACCTATATCTCCCGTATGGTTAGTGAGCATTCTATCATTGAACTACTTCATCTCCTGGTAAAATAAAAAAGCATGAAATTCCCTTATCTTCTAAGCAACGTGGTAGCATGAAAAATATATTTACATCTCTTTGTTCTAAACCTTGTCGTTTTAGTCCATTAGCATCAGAAAGAAAATCATTGGAATAGATTTAAATTTTTTTTTAAATCACCTGAGTTTTGATTGTGAGTGATGATAATCATTTAGAAATTATGTATAATAACATCGGTGTAATTTATCCAACACATGTAATGCAATAACACAGTTCATCTCGAGTACCCTGATAACACAAATTTAATTGTCATATAGGTTTATAATAAAAGCTAATAGAGTATAAAACGTCAAACGTCTGTCTGTCTGTCTCTATTCGACAGAGAACTTTGCACCGATTTGCAGCAGTTCAAGTCGTCACAATCCACACACACAAAGCAAGAGAAGAAAGTAGGAGAAATGCATAATAGAAACAGTAAACAGAGGTGTGAGACAAAGGAATAGTAATAACGAAGAACAAAACAGTGTCATTGGAAATCATAAGTCACAAGGAGTAGATGAATCTGCGTTAGCCACTGAGAACGACTTTGAGCCATATCACTGATTTTCCCCAGCCATTGGCTTTTACCATCCCGAGGACCCCAACCAGTGAGGAAGTCTACACCTTCCTAAGTAGCTTAAACTAAGTGTTGTAGATTTCATTGAATAGTGCCATATTTTGGTTTGACTGCCGCTAGCTCTTTTCCAGCCTGACCCTATATCAGCTAACATTGCCCATTGTCGAGGAAGGCAATGACTAGGCATACGTAGCACATGTCCTAACCATCTCAGCCGATGTAATTTCACAGTCTCGTCGACTGATTTCCCCTCCTCACCTAGAACTCGACGCCTAACCTCAATGCTGCTCACCTTATTATACCACTTCACGCGGGAGATAGAACGCAGACACCTATGATCGAACACAGATAATCTTTTCATGTCTTCTGCTCTCAATGGCCATGTCTCACAGCCATAAAGGAGGACGGAGTGGACTGCTGAGCAGTACACACGCCCTTTGGTCGATAGTCGGATATCACGTCTACGCCAGAGATTGCGTAAACTGGCATATGCGAAACTAGCCCTCTGTATCCGTACTGAGATTTCGTCGGAGATCAGTCCGTTGGGGCTGATGGTACTTCCCAAGCAAGTGAAGCGGTCAACGTGCTCTACCACTTCACTCCCTATTTCTAAACTAGGAGTCAGTGTAGTTCAGTCCTGTAACATCATCTTACATTTGGCGGGAGCGAATCGAACGTCAAACGTGAATGAATATAAGAGAAAATAAGTAACATGTGTTATGTGATTGGTTACAGGATTCATCACGAGCTGATATCAATTAGAGAACCATTAGGAAACCAGCAGTCGACAAGTGGAAATCTGTTTTGTCAGCCTAATTTCAGAATAATGAACAGTACACACCCACTCCACTGCCAGGATTAGAGCCCACAAGCTTCCAATTCCGAGAGAAGCTCGTAGACCATCCAACCATTGGGACCCAACTACTCAATGGCTGCCAGTTCATGAGTTCGAACTTCTACCGATTCGTGATTTTAGTGAGAATGTCACTAGCCAATGTGTTATCGCTAGAGAGTATTTGTCCTCACTTTCGACCATTTGATGGGTCCCCACTTTCCACTATAATTCTAGACAACTTTGTCGTGCAGTTTCAAGAGTTCTAACCAAATAATGCTGTGGGTGCGTACTGCCAATAAGTTTGAGCTTAGGCTAACGAAGCATCTCTCCAGTACTCCTTAGTTTTTACTGGTTCTCTAACTGATATCTATCCGTGATGTAACTAAAAAGCATTTTGTCTGTTGGACACATTATACACACATACACACATCACACAGTGAAGCAGTTTTTTTGCTGTGAATGACGTTTCGAATAGAAATTATTTTCATATTCATATCAACATTAAATTAACTAACTTACATAGTAAATTTGCATAAATAGATATTTACTTAATAGACTTACATCATTCAACCATAATTGTCTCCAATGGTTTGCAAGTGATGTAAAATCTCCAAAAACTTTTATAATATTGCCTAGTGTCTTGAAAACATTCTCTGAAGTTGAACTACGTTCCAAAGTAAGCAGATGGAATATTCTTGGCTTTTGTGACACAATGAAAAACAACAATCAACAAACAAATAACCGATCAATAAAGTTAAAAGTAGAATCTATTTATATATGTTTACATGTATCTATGCAGTGTACGTCGGTGGCACAGCGGTAGAATGCTCACCGATCACGCGTGTGGTCAGGAGTTCGAACTCCGGTAGACTCATTCCTCTACCTCGCTGAGCCAGTAATGAGACTGGTAAAGAGGGAAGGTTGAGCATGAGGCTAGCAACTTCATACCGTAAAAATAAACTCCACTATTACTAAGACTTCGAGCCTCTGGCTTGAAGCCCTATGTTTCACTGGGAACATAAAGGATTGAAAAAGCCTATGCTGTAAAATTAGTGGAACTAACTTTTGGTTACAACTTCTGAATATCTGTTCAGTTGTCAACTGTTGTAACAAGAAACGACAGCAGACTTGGTAACGAACTTTTTATCAGGGAAAAAAACACACCATATTTATAAAATTTTAGCCACATTTAAGGTCGGTTAATTGGTCAGCGGATAATAAACTGTTCCGATTGTTTGCTGATTCTCTGAAGGTTAAGCTTTGAGAAGAACGGTTGTCTAGCGGGATTATTTCCTGACCACAACGTAGGCCAAATCCAGATTTGACGGATTGTAACTCACTTCTTCCTCTGCAGCAAACATCAACTTAAAGTGAGTTTTTTTTCTTTTTCAAATTTGTCTATTTCTTATCAATTTGCGTCTATATACTACTGATAAATCTTTTCAGTAAAGCATGACACACTATATACTTTAGATATTGTTGGCTAATAGTTCATTGTTTGTTTTTGTTCTCATTCCTGACTTCAAGCTTTTGCAGTTCTAGTAGTGGTGGGGTGTTGTTGTTTGTACTGGGCGTGGCTGCAGGCTTCACGCCAAACCTCTTCTGTTTTCGGATATGACTAAAGTCGAAGGTAGGTGAAACTATGACGTTCTAGAAGAAGAATTAGATCTGCTGAAAGAAATCATCCAAAATAGCTAACCACCGGGGTTTATGGATAAGAATATTAAACCGAGAGTTCAGAAAATTGAGACATCTTTTGTGCTAAGAAAAGATCCACATGGCCCTTGATTTCAAGAAAGACCTAACCTAAGATATCTTTAGGAGAATAATTTCAACATCTTTTAGAAGGAGATTCTTCCTAGCATCGCTGAGATTAATGTTCGCCAGTTATCTAGTAGAGAACTCATTTCTATGTGCGTCCCGATTACAACTCACTCATTATTATTAATGATGTGCATCCTTAGTTCAGCGGTAGAGCGCTCTCCAACTACTCATGCAATCCGAGGTTCGATTCCCGGCCGAGACACTTCAAAACCTCACTAAGCCAAAATTAAGCCCATTAAAGAGGGAACCTTGGGTGTGGAGCTAGAAAAAAATGAAATCACTGCTACTGAAACTTCACAGCTGAAGCCCGAGGCCTTATGTTCCACTTGGAACGCAAACGAATTAAAGAAAAAATTAATCATAATGGCGCTTTATTATTGGTAGATATTTTTATCCAATGAACAGTGTGCGTTCAAGGTCAATGGTGCATTCACTCTCGTTGTGATCGATATATTTTAACTTGATCATTCGTTAAATACACTTACAGTGATATTTGATGAATTAAAAGGTATTTCATTACCAGGTAACCATGGATTAAGATTTCCAGATCTTAATTGATCGATTAAATACTGACAACCAGTATAATGATAATTTAGATGATAGAAAGCAATAAATAATTCATAGATAATCCACATGCTTAAGGCCAAAGTGATCAGCCAGAGAATCATGAGCAGAAATAACCACTGGTTGGAATAAGATTCATCGGCTGTAACTGAGAGAAACAAAAAAAAGAGAAAAAAAAGGCGTTATATATGTTCACACCAAATTCACTTTTAACATTCAAGTGTTGGTTTGTAGGGATTTGATTGGTTACAGGATTTTCATCATGAAGTGACATTAGTTAGAGAACCATTGGAAAACCTGGGAGTACTGGACAGCTGTTTCGCCCTAGTTTGTGACTCTTCGGCAGTACGCATCCACCGGGATTTCAACCCAGGACCTTCTGGTTACAAGGCGAGCTCCGTTTGAAAAAATTAGGATACTGGGTATATGATATTCATTATAATAAAGGTTTATTTTTGTATTTCCCAATGAATGAAAAACAAAACGATATTGTTGTTTTTACTGATGTTTCGCTATTTAATGCTGCTACTAATAGCTTTATCAAAGTATTGTTAAACCGGAATTTACAAAATCCACTCAGCGTAGATATATAACAACTTAATCATCGTTCCTCATCATGGCGACATTTTTACGTTGTTGTCAATTTGGCCAATTGGTAAAGATAACAAAAACAGGTGTAGATTGTTGGATTTGATAAGTGTATAAAGTTATAAAAGCAGCGTGTGTGTTTACATAATGAAATTGCTTATCCCACATTCCTGTTGATTTCGTTATTTCCTGGTCGACCGTGGTGTTGTAAACAGGTCAAATTCTACTTTAGTCCATCATTCACATTCAGTTCAGACAATTTGGATTCCACTTGATTTGAAGAGCTCCTGATAGTGTGAGATGTTCTTTGTGATTTCCAGAATTTTTCTGGATTATTTCAATATTTTCAAAAGAATAGACACTGAACAATATTGCCAAAATAAACTTTGTGGCCCGATTCTATAGCGTGTAGACCACCGATGGCTGATGATTTTTGAAGCTATTCTAGTTCAAATGCATTTCTTGGTGGTCGAACAGATGCTCTAAGGTGTTCATTTCTTCTGATTACCTTGATTTCTTGGTGGCGATGTTTGTCCAGTGTATTTCGTATCACATTCCAAGTATTTCATTTTATAGACACAATTAGATTGTGAATCCTTTGAAATTTGGTCTTTTACTTGGATAGGGTTGCTTTGTAGTGTGTCTGATGTTTTGAAGAAAAATCTGATGTCGAGCTTATTGGGTACTCTTCTCATATCGTCCGACACCTCCACTCTATACGGAATGACGACTGTTAAGGTTCATGTTTTCAGAATGTGTTTTCGACCATACTTAATGTCAGTGTTGATTTTGTTGAGGAATTTCCATGGGTAGTTGTTTTGCTTGAGAGTCTCAATAATGTTTGATATTTCTTCTTCTTCTTTCTCAAACTTTAACATCAAAGAGTGCTCTCGTCTAAGAAAACTTGAAACAACTGATGCCTTTGTGCCGATGGGGTGTGATGATCCGAAGTCCAAATATTTATTGGAGTGGGTTTTCTTCCTGAATATGGTACACTAAAATGTCTGTTTTCCTTCCTCTTAACTAGGCAGTCGTTTTGTTTTCATTCAGTGAGCAATACAAGAAACCTATATTATATTGAAGAGAAAAAAGACGGTTCGAGGAATTACTCACTTGTAATTTTTTGTTCAATGAAGTTATGTCACTCAAACCTGTCTGAAAGAGATTTAAAACTTTGTATATATACACACCTGAAGTAGACTGGGGGATGAAGACTAGTAGCGGTGGAGTCCAGAATTGGCTTATCAGCTGGATATACCTACAATCCCGAGTGAGCGATGGTGTTCCCCCACCTAACTGGGACTCGAACCCGGTACTCATAGTTTCGAACGGACGAAAATTCCATTTTCTGTGAAAATCCATATCGTTTAGATAGCTTTATTCAAGGTGGTAGTTAATAATGATGAGGTAGTTTATGTACAACCAACTTAGCCATCTGTAGATTATTATGTTGAAGTTTTTACCACTTCAGCTATAAAATTCATGTTGTCACAGCACTCCTGTTTCAATTCATTGATCAACGAATTTGTGAAGTTACACCGATTGAGATGGTCAAGACATGTGTTACACATGCCTAGCCATCGATCGCCTACCTCGAAGGGCAATATTAGCTGGCATAAAATCAGGTTGTGAAGGAACTAGCGGTGGTCAAACCAAAATAGAGTATCAGTCAATGAAATCCACAACAGTTAGTTTAAGCCCTGGGTGGGGTCCTCGGGACTGTAAATACCACAGGCTGGAGACAATTGGTGATATGGCTGAAAATCTTTATCAATGATGGCGCAGATGCAACCACTCCTTGTGATTTATAATATCCAAAAAAATTCTGTTGTTCTTCCATATTATTATTATTGTTCTTTTTGCTTCATATTTCTGTTTGTTTCTCTTTTGAATCTCTCTTAACTCCCTTCTCTTGCTTTGTGTGCTACGTGGAGTGTGGCAACTTGAACTGCTGCATATCTGTCCAAAGTTCTACGTTGAAACCAGTCAGTCAATGATCAACAGATTTCTTTATCGATCTAAAATAGGATTTAGTCGTCAGCAAGTGTTCGTTCATAGAAAATATGACATTAAGCGTTATGCTAATTTTATTCATACGAATATTCTTTCGGTCGAGATAGGTGGGGATATGCGTGCATGTTTGTTATTGTAAGTAGCCGTAAGTGCATAGTGGCTATTTATTGTATAATAATGAAGTGGTTGTTACTGGGTTTATTAGAGGGATGACTGTTAGGCATCTGCGATATGCAGACGACAAGCCAGATGTCTTCTGGACGAGGGAGTTGTCGGGAGTTCATGGTTGATTGATGTAGTTCATGTGTTGTTTGTGACTTGATGCCAATGTGTTGGTCATTGACTGAGATATTGTGTGTGAGTTGTTGTGTAATGAGCGATCGATGGTGGTAGGGGTGGATGAGTTGTCAGAGGTGCCAGAGTTAAGGGCAATCTGATGAGCGTATTAGTCCACGATGTGGGCATGGGTTCGAATCCCAGCCTCGATACATATACACATCAACAACTATCCAAGTAACCCCTAATCACTACCAATATTCCACAAATGCACAGAAGACATCAAAACGCCCACTATCATGCAGCCCCATACAAATATTTGGGAAAAAGTCAGAAATATCAGTGTGAGGTCTTCTGAGGTTGTTTTTTTCCTTCACGTTCCCCAGTGGAACATAGGGCCTCAAGCTAGTGGCTTGAAGTTTTGTAGCAGTGCTTATCACTTTACAGGATGGGGTTGCTAACCTCATGCCCAACCTTTCCTCTACACCAGCATTATTTCTGGCTTAGCGAGGTAAAGGAGTGCGTCGGCCAGGGATCGAACCCCGAACCATGTGCATGGTGGGCGACCGTCCTAACCGCTGTGCCACCAACGCACTGAGGTTGTTTACATTCCTTTTATATTTCACTCTATTGTTAATTATGATTTCAGTTTGCCTCAGGTATGACTCCCGTTTGTTTACTAACGTCAACCGCTATCTCATTTGCAAATATGTATACAAGCTTTCCCCCAAATATTTAGTCACAGTTTTGTTTGTTTTTATGTATATCCAACGATAAGAGTCAGGCACGGAAACGGTGCTCCCTAAGTATTAACTGTTATAAAGACATTTCAAATTCATAAATGTTACAAAGTTGATCACAGAGTGATATCTTTTAGAGAACCATTGAAAACCAGCACTCGAGTACCTAACAGCTGTTCCATCAGCCTTTATCAGTATGTACCCAACTCCAAATTTTGAACCCAGGGCCTTCCAGTGAAGAGATGACCCCCTAGACCATTAAACTACTGGGACCCAATCCGATGGCCGCCAACCCATGAATTCCAACTTCTACCGATTCGTGATTTTAACGCGACTGCAACCAACCAATTTTATTGTTGGCGAGTATTCGCCCTCACTCCTGACTGGATAGACCCCAGTGTTCACGACTTCTTGAAAATTATTCTGATCCTCCCTGGTGACTGACTACAGGATAAAGTTTCCTGGATTTCTAGTGAGAAGTCAGGATTGAGGTCAAATACTCGCTAGCGATGGAATTGGCTAGTGCCAGTAGCTCTAAAATCATGAATTCGTAGAAGTGGGTTGGTGGTCATTGAGAAGTCGGGTCCCAGTGGCTGAATGATCAACGATCTTTCCTTGTAACCGGAAGATCTTGGGTGTGAACCTCAGTGGAGTGGATGGGTAATGATGAAGAGTCGCAGACTAGGCTGGTGAAATAGCTGCCCAGTACTCTATTGCTAGTTTTCAATGCTTCTGTAACTAACGTCAAACGGAGATCGAATTTGATATTCAAATCAAATCTCTACAAGAAAACTCTTGAAAGCTAATGAATATTAGAGAAAATGAAGTGGTTGTTATTACGTGAAGTAACAAGAATGCATAGTATAATTGTTTTATATCATTAAAACTTTTCATTGTACTTACATTCGGCTACTTTTGTTTCATTCGCCTGTTCCACTTTGTCTTCCTTTTTCTTCTCTTTAGTTACTTTCATAAAAAAATTAAATATTATAGTAAAGCAGGGAACACAGAAATTATCGTGTTCAATTGAATAAAAGAGAATTAAAGCAAAAAGAGCTTTTTCTCTTCGAAGTAGCACAAATTTGATACTTAACCAACAACAAAAACAACCAACCAATCACCACTATTTAGGCAGTATCATTTCAACTACAGGAGGCAATCAAAGACAAGGCAAAAAGCTTCTCTAAATCTGAAATCAGTGTGGAAATTTACTGCAGTAAGCGTAAAGAAATAAGATTCGCATCCTTTAACACTAATATCAAGTCAGTCAGTCTGTTACGCAGCGCTTCTTTGTGGTTCAGAGACCTGATGTGTGTCACGAGAAGTATTTCCAGCAGTCTATTGTAGATATTTATCGACAGATGCCTTGGCTGGCTCTGTACTGCAGGTCATATAGCTAGAAAGTAGAGGTGGTTCTGAGAAGCTGAAAAGGTCATTGAGTGACATTTTTTTATTCCTTTAAGTTCTCAATGGAATATAGGGAGGCTTTAAGTTTCTGAAGCAGTGGTGATCATTTTTAAAGCATGTGGTTGCTAACCATATGCCCAACCCTCCCTCTCTACCAGTCTTGCTACTGGCTTAGAGAGGTAAAGGAGTGCGTCGGCCGGGGATCGAACTCCGGACCGCCTGTGTGGTCGGTGAGCACTCTAACGCTGTGCTGCTGACGCTTTGAGTGACATAGCACTCAAGATATAACCTCAAGTGGAACCCGAATGGGAAACGATGAGTCGAGCTGGGCATCCAAGGATGACATAAAAGGCATTGTGTGAAAAGGGAGTCAGGGCCTATGAACAGTCGTGGAACCAGCTATGGAAGATTGCAGAGAATAGGATGAAATAGAGATGCTGTATTGAAGCCAAAAGTTGCACTCGAAACCTAAGGGAACAATAACAACAATAGGAACTAAATATAGATTTAAATAGTTTCAGACAAATTTTACTTATGTAATGGGTAATAATTAAAAGTAAAATTTTATATAGTTTGGTTTGTAAGGGTTATTTATGTTTTTGCGAGTTGATCACAGATTGATACAAGTTAGAGAACCATTGAAAACCAGCACTGGAGTACTGGACAGCCAGCTGTTTCATCCTAGTTTGAGAATCATCGGCAGTACGCACCCACAGCCTCGTTTCGAACCGAGGACCTTCCGGTTACAAGGCAAGCTAGCTCGTATATCATTCAGCCACTGAAACCGGATTTAATGGGCAGCCCATGAATTCTAACTTCTACCAATTCGTGATTTAGCGCGAGCCTAACCAATGGTTCTCTAACTGATATCAATCCGTGATCAACTCTCAAAAGCATAACTAACCTTTACAAACCAAACTATAGAAAATTAATCTGATGCTCGCTAGTGACTTGCTACAAGATGGAGTTTCCTGGAGTTTTAGTGAAAAGTCGTGACCAGTGAGGTCCATCAAGATGTCACGTGTGAGAATGGGTGTCTCACTTACGATACTGGTTGGGGTCGCGTTTAATCACGAATTAGAAGAAATTAGAATTCATGCACTGGTCATTGAATCGGCTCTCAGTGGCTGAATGGTATACGACCTTGCCTTCTAACCGGATTGTCCTGGGTTCGAACCCCAGCAGGTGGGTGGGGTTGATTCCCAAACTAGGATGAAACAGATATCCAGTACTCCCAGCTGGTTTTCTATGGTTCTCTAACTGATATCAATCCGTGATCAACTCGTAAAAATAAAATGAAAATTTCGGCTTTGATAGGATTGTAACAGGAGGCTTTTAACCAAACTGGGCTTGTAGTGAGAGCTGTCTGTTAGAAAAAATGTAGACAACAATTGACTTCAATGTTTACGTCCTGAATCGGGATCATGAGAAAGAACAAGAACAAGCCCTAACCTTGAGGAACTCAACAATCAATCACAGCGGACTTAGCGTGGGTGGATACGATTCACAGATATATCAACGGACTGTCTAAGAAACAGCAACCAAGAGATAAGAGAATAACCTTCAACAGGAAAACAACGAATCAGAAGACGTTGCTTCTCCGCTAGCTATAACGTTAATAATAATGTACATAAAAATCTATAAATATCTATTGATTTTCTCAAAAAGGATCTGTTGCTTGACCCGTGTCTTCTGTCGTTACAGACTGGCACTCTACCAGTGAAGCTAGGCGACCAGGTTGTTAATCAGGTTATCATTATTTCAATGTAATCATCATCGATACTGTCCAGCTGGCGATGACTGATACATCATCACTGTGTGTTGACTATCACCTTCTTAACTATTTAACTAAGCATTTTCTTGTCAGTCCTAATCACCAAAATTAAAAATGTGACTCTTAGAACTACATTCTCATTTCACATTCAGTCATTACACCAATAGGAGTTTGTTAACCTTAGACTCTCAGAAAATTTCACTGGTCAAATTTAATTTAAGTACTGGTTTTGTAGGGATTTTGTTTGATTCCCTGGAGGGTTTCATTATGAGCTGACATCAGTTAGAGAACCATTGGAAAACCTGGGAGTACTGGACGGCTGTTTCGTCCTAGTTTGGGACTCTTCACAGTACGCACTCACCGAGATTCGAACCCAGGACCTTCTGGTTACAAGGCGAGCTCGTAGACCATTGAGCCACTGGGACCCGATCCAATGGTCCTTGAATTCTAACTTCTGACAATTCACAACATTTCATTTAATTAAGTAAAATATTTTGGTTTTTCATATGAAATTTGGGAGGAAACTGACCATCCTTTAGATTTATTGAAATAATATCCATCTTTATGCATAGATTATAGGGGTGTTTCAATGGTTACATGATTGATCACGAGCTGACATTAATTAGAGGACGGGTGTTTCGTCCTAATATGAGGCTCTTCATCAGCATGCACCCGCTTCTTCCTGATTTGGACTCAAGACCTTCTGGTTACTAGTCGAGCTAGCTCGTAGGCCACTAAACTACTGGGATCCGATCTAATAGTCGCCTCATGAATTCTAACTTCTGCAGATCAGGTGAGAGGATGAAACCTAGCCAGCGATGGCGCTGGCTACTTCCAGTCGCGCTATTTCTTAAAGTGGTAGGATTTAGAATTCATGGACTGGCTGTTGGATAGGGTCCGAGTGACTTAAAGATCTACTAGATTATTCGCCTTGTAACTGGAAGGACTTGAGTTTGAATCCTGACAGTGGGGTGGGTGCGTACTGATGAAGAGTCACAAACTACACTGAAGAAACAGGTGGTTTTCCAGTGGTTGCCTAACCGATTCTAACTCATGACGAAATCCTGTAACCAAAATAGTGAAAAAGGAAACAGATGGACTGAAAAAGAATAAAATAATAAAATAACTTACACATACGAATTGTAACGTTCAATGATTTCTTGAAATGTTTTCCATTATAATACTTAAATTTACATTCCACAGGTACTCGGCCAGTTTTAGGATAGACTGTATAATTGATAGGCGGTGAAATCAATGGATGTAACATTGTATTATTAATAGAAATTAGTCTAGTGTAATTAATATTACTATTATTAGTTATATTTATCGGTGTAATATTTAATACGCCTTTTGAATAAGCCTTAGCACTTTGTTTCCCGGAGAGTAAACAAATAATTTGTTTTGATTCATTTACGAATAATTCACCACTGCTAGGAATGAATGATACTCTTATATCTGTAAAAAAAGTAAAAGAAGAAATGAAACAATTCACAGAAAAAAAAACAAGAAATGCCTATTAAAATTTTTTGTTACAAGAATGGTTATTGAACAAAGAATATCTATTTTCGACAACCTGCTCTTCATCAAGTTCTACAGTTATATATATATATATATATATATATATATATATAGTAGTGAATGAAGTAGTTATTAACGACATTGAGGTTTTCTATAGTTGCTTTGTAGGGGTTAGTTTTGTTTTTACGAGTTGATCACGGATTGATATCAGTTAGAGAAGCATTGAAAACCAGCCACGGGGAGTACTGGACATCTGTTTCACCCTAATTTCGGAATTATCGACAGTACGCACCCACTGGGGTGGATGTCCCAACCGACGACATTGGCTGAGGTCGCGCTAAATCACGAATCGGTAGAAGTTAGAATTCATGAGCTGGCCACTGAATCGGGTCACAGTGGCTAAATGGCATAAGAGCTTTCCTTGAACCTCAGTAGGTGCGTACTGGCGATGATTCCCAAACTAGAATGAAACAGCTGACGAGTACTCCAGTGTTGGTTTTCAATGGTTCTCTCACTGATATCAATCCGTCGTCAACTCGTAAAAAATATTGAAGTTGTTTAAATAACATTGAATCAATAATAATTCAATTCAATGATGTCCACTTTGCTATAAAATTCACATGCAGAGAGAGATCCCAAAATAGGATTGTCTTCCTGGATGTCTTACTTACAAGAAAACCAGATGGTAGCTAGTATTAAGAGAAATTTGCATAGGATAAGGACACGGACAGGACAACATACACATTTTCACAGCTTCCTTCCTCTCCAGCACAAAAGAAATTTAGTAAAGACCCTCAGCCGCAGAGTTAGAGCTATATGCTCATAAGAAGTAATTGAAGATGAACTAAGGATTGTATATGATACCTTGATTGATTGAAAATAGCTATCGTGACAAATTTATCAAGAAACACCTGACAAAGAAAGCGTACAGGGACTATTCTCCATTTGTAAATAAGAAGCCTTTATATAAACGACTGCAATTCAAGGGTGACTCATCTAGTGAAATAATTACCAACTTGTTAAGAAAATCTATCCAAAGAACTTTTAATGCCGGTAAACTACTAATTTAAAAGTTTCAACTAACTTAGTAATTATTATACTTTTTTCCTCCACCTACACTGTGTATCATTAATTTGGCATTAGTATATCATAAGTTAATTTCGACCTTTATTATTTATTGCCTTTGTTCCTGTTGAATCTTTAATTCTAATAATTCTCTCTGGGGTTGTGTTTACACTGACAATGTGTTTGTTGTTTAACATTATGCGTTTGTTTGAGTGAATGCAGGTGATTCTAACTGCGGTGACTGACTGTCTGTGAGAAGGGAAGCGTTGGTGCATGTGTGCGTATGCATGATACTCGTGGACAGAGCTTTTGATCGATTCAACCTCCTTCGTTGGGAATATTCTCCTCCTCCTCAATTCTATGGTACCTTTCACGGTTGAACCTACATCGCCATGATGGTAGCTGCCTAACAGTAGTGTTGAGGTAAATTTCAGTTTTGATCTTATTTTAGTTGTTGTTGTTGTTGTTGAATAAAACCGCTAAAATATTGAAGAAGAAGAATCGTCTTTTCCCTGCCTCTGGAGGATTTCGTGATTGAGCGTGTCTCAAGGAAGTTTTGTCGGCCATAATACAGCCGAACGCAGAGACGGGTTTCTTGAATTCAGACCATATAACCGAATAAATTTGATCGTTACAATGTATATTAATCAATGAATAAACTCAAAGTGACTCACTCCGGTCAAAACCTATGCTCAAAATCCACAGATATTCTCTCCATTTCATTCTTTTGCGTTCCAAGTAGAATATAGGGCTTCTAGCCTCAACTCTGGAGCTTCAGTTGCCATGATTTTATTCTCTAAGGGATAAGGTTTGTTAGCCTTATTACAAACTTCCTGTCTCACCCCCTCCAACACTTTTACTGGGCTTACTACCGCCTAAGCGAGGTCTACAAGTGGATCGACTTTCAGTCAATAGAGCTGAGGACTCCACAATACTTCATTTATTCAAAAATACTTCATTTTTGACCTTCAAAAGCAGTGATTATTTAAAACATTTTTTTAATTTACACATAGAATGAATCTGGTCCAGTACAAGAACTGGCGCGGAATTATGCTCCTGTCCATCCCAAGCAAAATACTAAGCCGCATCATCCTGGAGAGAATCAAACATGCCCTAGATGAAAAACTTCGACCGGAACAGGCTGGATTCAGGAGAAACAAGTAATGCATTGATCAGATCGCCACATTACGGATCATCATTGAACAAAGCTTGGAGTGGCAGTCACCTCTCTATCTCAACTTCATTGACTTTGAAAAGGCCTTCAGCAGACACCGTCGATCGAGAGGTGATTTGGCCACTACTCCGCTACTACGGAGTGCCACCGACAATTATACATCTCATCCAACAGCTGTACGACAATGCTGCATGCCAAGTAATCCACAACGGGAAGCTTACGGAATCCTTCGAAGTGAGGACAGGAGTGAGACAAGCTGGCTGCCTACTATCACCAATGATTTTCCTGATTGCAGTAGACTTGATAACGCGACAGACAGCGGGAAACGAGGAAACAGGCATAAAATGGACTCACACAAAGAACTTGGAGGATCTGTACTTCACCGATGATATATGTCTGATTTCCCACAAACTCGAAGATATGCAAGCGAAAGGCAACAAATTGGCAGAGGAAGCATCAAAGATAAGACCTCGGGTGAACAGAGAGGAAACAGAGGTGATGAAGATTCCTGGTCAACACCAACAGCAACAACAACAGACAACAATCAGCATGAATGGGAGGAACCTGAAAGAAACAACCTCCCCTATCTACCTGGGAAGCATCGTTTCAACCACAGGTGGAACTGACGAGGATATCAAAGCAAGGATCGGGAAAGCAAGGCAAGCTTTCATTACTCTCAAGTTTGTGTGGAGGTCAACAGCATTCAGCGTCAAAAATAAGATCCGGATTTTCAACTCCAATGTGAAGTCAGTCAGTGCTAATATACGGATCAGAGACTTGGCCAGTGCGTCATAAAGAGCATCTCAAACAAATTACAGACCTTCATTAACAGTTGTCTTCGCTCAATACTCAAGATCAGATGGCCAGAATAGATCAGCAACAGAGATCCCTGGCGATGAGCGAACCAACACAGCAGGAACCGATTGTGAAACAAATAGGCAGGAAGAAATGCAGCTGGTGGGCAGACTTGGAGCCAGGTGAAGACTCTAGCAGAGAACCGAACGCAATGGGGACGCATGGTTGAATCCCTATGTTTTTCTAGGAATTAAAGGAAACAATAATAACAATAATAATAATAGAATGAATCTCAACTTTACTTGCTTGCTTACTAACTCAATGTTACTTACCATCAATTTCAATATATTTTCTAAATGAAAAATATACATAATCTGTTTTATGCAATTTATATATACATTCGACTTCTAAGTGTCCAGGTTTTCTGTATCCACCTAGACTACTTTCTGGTGGTTTGATAACAGCATCATTATGGATCTTTTCAATAGAGACTAAATTGTCACTTGATTGACTGATGATACGTATCTCCCAATAACCTTTATATAACGATTCAGTCGACTTTGGTAAAAGGCCACATTTTAATCTATTTTGATTACCAACAGAAAGACTAATATTAGCCTCATCAATACCATTCAATGTTCCAATGATTTTCTTATCTGAAGGAATTAAAAATAAGTTTAAATATATATATATATATATATATATATATATATATATATGAAAGTAAGTATAATGAGTTTATCGATTAAATTGTTCTCTACACTTTGTTGTGTAGCTCTGTACTTGGGGAGAGGTAGAACGACTCGGCAAGCCCACTATTGCCGTCTTGAGCACTGTCCAATGTGGTTAGGTTAAAGAAGTCGTAAAGTCAGTCAAGAGTTCCATTTAAAGTGGCACGCCTTGTGGAGACAGTCAGCACAAGAGTGATAAAAAATATTCAGCCTTAACGAATCCATATAGTTTCACACATACCGTCTCTCACATAGACGTGATATCCAGCTGTCGACCAAAGGGCCTGTGTTCTGCTCAGCAGTCCTCTCCGTCCTCCTTTATGGTTGTGAGACCTGGCAAATGAAAATTGAAGACACGAAAAGGCTAGCTGTCTTTAATAATAGCTACCTTCTCTCTATCGCCCGTGTGAAGTGGTACAATAGGGTGAGCAATATTGAGGTTAGGCATCGATTGCTAGGTAAAGAGGGGATATCAATGGACGAGGCTGTGAAGCAACATCGACTGAGATGGTTAGGACATGTGTTACGTATGCCCAGTCATCGTCGTCTTCGACGGGCTGACATAGGGTCAGGCCAGAAAACACCTAGTGGAAGTCAAACGAAAACATTGCACCAGTCAATGAAATCCACAACAGTTAGTTTAAGCCACGTAGGAAGGTGAAGACTTCGCGGTTGGGGTTCTCGAGGCGGTAAAATTCAATGACTGGAGACAATTGGTGATACAGCTCGAAATCGTTCTCAATGGCTGGTGCAGATGCATCCACTCCCTGTGACTGATAATATCCAATAAAACTGTATTGTTCTTCCATATATAATTATTCTTTTTGCCTCATATTTCTGTCTGTTTCTATTTTGAATCTCTCTCTCAACTCCCTTCTCTCGCTTTGTGTGTGGGGAGTGTTGAAAAACCGGATTAGAGCCATTAATGGATCGCAAATGGGTGTTATTTATAGTTATTTAGATGAAGAGACGTATAGGATGTGGCGTAACTTCTCCTATGGAAAACTGGGAGCCATTTTTATCGCACGTCAGAGAAAGGTATCCTTTGTAACACCTTTGTGCAGCTTTTACACTTTTTTCATAAACATATGTATTTTATACTTAAAAAATAGCAGTTTAAATGTGATTGGTGCGTTCAAAATCATTCTCTGATTGGTAGTTAGTGGTACTTAAGGTTTAACTTCACCGCAATATGAATTGATATTAAATTGTTTAGAGAGTATCGTTAGGACGCATCATTGACTGACAGACAAATCAGTGAAATTCAAATTCATATATTTAAAATTCTTGTCATTAAAAAAACTTCATCTTACCTACAATTTCTATACTTTTTTCAAAACGGAATACTGTTTCCCCATCAATTCGACTTTTTAGAGAACAAGTAACTATTGCTTTACCAATAGTATTATATACAGAACTGCCTACAGGCGGTCCTAGAATTGACTGATTGATTAATGATAATAAATATGGAGTTTCTGAAGTAAACTTTGTTTCCCAATAACTATCAAATAGTGTATCAGTGCCTTTTGGTAATATACCACACTGGCTTGTAACATTTGAACCAAGTGGAATAATTATATCCAGTGTGTTCATATTATTCAATGTTCCTTTCATGCGACGAGCTTGAGAAAACAGCAAACAAAAAGGAAAAGAAGAACAGCTTTTATTTCTTAAAAAATATCTTGGATGAAGATGGATTACCGGCACGTGTCGTGGAGAGGAACATGGAATCGAAGCACTTCATTGCCAAAAGAAACACTGTATATGAATCTGGGGTTCGGGGAAGCATTAGCTGCAGATATCCTTAAGAGGAAAATCTCTAATTCCCAGAAAGAAAACCTTTTCTGCAGCAACTCTGAGAGTGATACTCTCTAGCTGCTCACTTCTTTTAAGCAATAAGAAGGACAAACCTCAGTCTCCAATGTGCATAAATCAGTTCACCTGCTTGTTCAGAGCTTGGTAATTAAATCGTTCTATGATGAAGAAAATAAAAAAAAAATTCAGCCAGAGAAGAAAATTTTCTTTATCGACGAAATCATCTTCAGAGGCTGTACAATCGTATTTATACTTGCAAAAATATATAGTGGTCTATTATTGAGTAATAGGGGGTGACATAATTGATATAATTACTCAGAAGTGGCTTTAGAAGTGAAAATTAGAAGTTGAAAATTACGTGGTACTCAACGTCAAAAAGATAGAAATTTGATAAGGTTAAAATTGCTATTAAGTGAGAATAAAGGTATTTGAGTGTCAATTTAACAAGTGTGAAGAGAGTGTGAAAATATATAAAAGGAACATATGAGAGTGATAATGGTGAATTAATAATCAAAGTAAAAACAAACTAAAAGTAAAATTTAAAAAGAAAATTCAAATTTTTTTTTACAGGGAACGGCTAGTGAAGAGGTTAAGACCAGGGTAGAATAAGAGACTGGACAAACGTTTTCTGTATACAGAGTTCAGGGTTGTATTGATGAACTGCTAGAGCCTCCGCCATACACAAAAGCCGAAACCTGACGCTCTTTGTACCATTTGGCTTCACTTTGTAGATGATCTTGAAAGACGATTCTATGATGGTCCTCTCGAAACGTGTTAGATAACATTACCAATCATAGTTGCAAAGAGGAGTCACTGGTTAAATTATAAGTGCCATGAGTGAACACCTCGTCAGCATCTGTCACAGCATCTCAACTCACTCATCATTCAGAGTCATTTACAAAATAAATAAAAGTGTGCCAAAGACAGTGTGTTTTTGACTTCTTTCTACTTCAGTAGCTCTCACCATATGCATTGAAAAACCAGAGTTGTATGTTCAAAAGAAAACACTCCAACCGCTACATATAACGTAACTATTTACTAATCCTGTGTAATTTTTTTTCTAAAGCACTTATAATATATATTCATGCCTTTAAAGTTTCATTTCAGGCTGAAAATTATAACCACCCTTAATAGCCATCTTTATTACATGGAATTAAATCAGAATAATTGTATCTATGTCAATTTATGCATACAAAAGTGCGATAGTACAGCTTCTTTTGAGGATGAAGTCATGAAAAGGTGGTTGTTTTTGCTGAACTTCTTGTCGTTTTCTTTCTAATGTCTCGATGGGTATTTTTCACGATTGAAAAATATATATTAGCAAACATGGGAGAAGAAAATATTGATTAGTGAGAAAAAGCAATCAAAGATTTTAGATTGTTAATTCTTATTTGTAGTAATTTCTAAGCATTCAGAGAAGCTGTCTACTGCCAGAATGGGTTTTGAATGAAAAATAGGCCTTCAACAGGACGTCTTCACCTTCTATTTTCTGCTATCCTCTTTAGTTGGCCCCACAACTGCCCATAATCTCTTATCTCCTCCTCATTACATGATCTTCTCTATGTCACCAGCGGACGCACAACTCGTCGTTTCTCATTTGGGTTGCACTCGAGTGATGGCCTGGTGAGCTGTAACACCCAGAGGTCTCCTAAGTATACCCACAATCCACCTACATTTTTTTCTGCATATTTGTTGAGCGACAAGTTCTTCGTTAGTTTGTTCTCAGTATTTCTTGTGGCGAATTCTTTCTGGCCAGTCAGCAATGTGATCTTCAGTATGGAACCAGACAAGACTGATGTTGATAAAAGTCTGCAGTGGCCTGTTGGAAATGCCTTTCGTAACGTTCAGTGTAAGTGTAACAGAAGTGACTTACTTAAAATTTGTGGTGAAAATCCGAATATCGTTGCTTATGCTGCGGAGTGCAGAAGATTTCCAAACTGATTTTAGAGTGATGAAGGTCTGCCGTTACTTTCTGATTCTGGCTTTGACATCTTCATCTATTCCGCCTGTGGCTGAAACGATGCTTTCTAGATAACTGAAGGAAGTAACCTCTTTCAATTTTTCTCCGTTGATAGTGACTGGTATTGGCTGTTGTCGGTGGCGTGTGGCTATTTTCATTAACTCCGTCTTCTCTGTTTCCACTTGTAGGTTTCTCTTCGCTTCTTCAGCTAATTAACTGATTTCTTCCTATAAGTCTTCTAGTTTGTGTGACATTAGACATAAATAATGCGGGAAATCCAGATCTTCTAGAGTCTTCTTATCTGTCCAGAGTATTTCTGCCTTCTCTTTCCCCATATAAGGTGTGCCGCATAAACCAGTCCATCACAATTAGGAATATCACTAGTGATAATAGACAGCCAGCCGTGTCTTATTCCTGCATTAACTTCAGACGCCTCTCTGAGTTTTCCGTTGTGAATCACTTGGCACGTAGCGTTGTTATATAGCTGTTGAAGGAGGTTGATAAAGATTTGGGGTATGTCATTGTGTTGAAGCTGTTTCCGAATTGCTTCCCAGTCAACACTGTTGAAGGCCTTCTCAATGTCGAGGAAAATGAGGTAGACATTTGACTACCATTCTACTCTTCGTTAGGTTGTCTGTGAAAATACGATTAATGAAATGTCTTTAAATGATAAGTCAAAACAACTAGACAGTACCAGAGGAAATCTACAGCAGGAAGTAAGATATATAAGAGAAGCCTTGACACTTAATAATTACCTTGGTAAATTAACCAGAAAGTATATAGAAAACTGTAAAACTAAAATTAATTATACTGGGAAGGATGACATTAGTGACCAGCATACAGAGAAAGGTAACAACACCAAGAATATGGAATTTGAAACTTCTGTAGTGCTTTCATACGAAGAGGAGGGAACAGCTTTGCTATTCAAACTTCCCACAAACTCACTTAGAGACATTTTAACTGGACACTAGTAACTAGTGTGGCGTGTCTAGTACTTTCTTTGGTGCAGACTGAATTCTATCAGTCAGGTTTTTGCAATGTGGCCACCATTCTAGGTAGCTCGCCATCACGGTGCACATTGATTTGATGATATTAGATAGTCGGAGGCAATCGGCTGGAAGTCTTGGACCTAGGTTTCGTGCTAGATGACACTCATCAACAAGGCGTATCTGCAACCTTGAAGGAACTCATGTCCCTTCTGAGATTCGAACCACACACTAGTTACTAGTATCCAATCAAAATATCCACTACAGTTCTACAGGAGGCCAATCGCGAGCCCGAATAGCTCAGTGGTAACGTTTCTGACTGCAGCACTGAGTGACACGGGTTCGAATCTCAGAAAGGACATGAGTTCCTTCAAGGTTGCAGATACGCCTTGTTGATGAGTGTCAACTAGCACGAAACCTAGGTCCAAGACTTCCAGCCGATTGCCTCCAGCTATCTAATATCACTTAGAGACAATTTATGAGTCAATTAAAGGATCCTGTGGCGTAAAATTAGGCAAAATAATTTATTTTTTCGAATATACTTCAATGACTGTGAGGTAAAGTACACAGGTCATAATATTGAGACAGTGTGAGTCGGATTAGCGAAGCGCAGAGGCTTAGTGCAGCTTAGACTAATAGACGTTAGTAAGATAACACACAAGAAAAAAGCTAAGCCATAGCACTATGCACAACCATACGACAGGATGGAACAAAGTGACAGGTTAAATTTTAATTTAGTAAGATGGATAAAAAGATTTAAGCGGGAAGCTTTGTTTACTCAGAATGATTCAACACCAGTCTGGGATATCCGAAAAAAACATTCTACTACTCCTCTGATAAATGGAACGGAAGAAACGGGGAACCATAAAAACCAATCTTTTAGGTTGGGTAGTTACAAGTGATATGATGATCCCTAAGAAAATCAAATAGGATACATCCACAATTTACTGGTCTGAATGGTATATCCTAGTAGATTTGCAAGGAGACATATGAGCACTGTGTACAGCAAATCGGAACCAACCTTAGTTCCTGAGGCTCCAATTTGGTAAAGATATCACTAGCGATTTCCTACATCTAATATCATCTACAATCATAAGACGCAATTATACTCTTGTTACTGTTTGTCTGTCGTCTTTCAGCCGACCATTTGTTGTTGCTCAGGCAAAAGATGAACTGCCTAACTGTACCACTTTTATGTCAATTAACAAGTTTAGCTATCCCTATGGAGAAATCTATTGTGGGCGAACAACTAGACAGCTTAACAAACGACTAATTATTGAGCCTCTTTCTTCGTTGTTCAGAAAAGACCAAGCAGATCCATAAGAAGCTCTGTATCGTCTAATGTGATTGATAGCAGCCACCAAGTGGACGAAAGTACGCATTCCAGGCTATCTCTTGCATTCCATTGAATCTTTCCAAAGGAATTCGAAACCGCCTTTTCGCACACAAGTGAAGCTACGGAAACTCGAGAGAACAGTCTTAGTCTTTGATATGATTATGAGCCATAAATGGTGTTCGAAACGGTATCCAGTGAATGAAATTGTCACACTCTATTCGATATATCCAACAAAAAGATATATAGAGGGTATTGGACACACTAAATCTTGAACAAATAGATACTGGGAGAAACGATATCATGTCTAGAAACACTACAAAGCAAGAACGACACGTGAACCAGGATGATATGAGCTCATTTTTCATTATTTCGAGGATTCTTCTCAACAGGCTGCATACAACATGAATAATATAAAGTTTATATAAATACATTAAAGATTTTAGCCTACTTTCTCTACAATGACAAGGAGTAATTAGTGGGGGCTAACAGTAACACTGATCTGGAATGATGTAAGTAGTTGTTGAATGCTTAAAGTGCAAATGACTGACAATTTATAGGAAAATTAGATGAATCTGCTTGGAAACAGAAGGACAGAGATCAACAGATTTTCGTAGGTTATAAAAAAAGTTTAACTAGAAAGAATATGAGAAATAGTAGGTTATGAAATAATGGAGAGGATTTGTAGCTCAGGTGGATGGTGTTGAATTAGTTGTTTTCTCTGAGCTGATTGATTTATTTGCGAGGCTTTCGTTATCCCACATCTAGACTACATCTTAAGAGCAGGTTTTAGTTTAAAATGAACTCATTTGAATTCTCCATGAATGCTGTAACTCTAACTCCTGGTGACAAATGTCGTGACCAGTTGTGAATTCACGTCTCTATTGATCGTTTTCATCAAATTGGAATTCGAAATTTCTTGTCAGTAAAAATGATCAATAGAGACGTAAATTAACAGCTAGTCACGACAGTGGTCACCAGGAGTTACAGTTACACAATTCAGGGAGAATTTAAATGAGTTCGTTTCAAACTAAAACCTGCGCTGGAGATGTTGTCTAGAAGTGAAACAACGGAAGGTTGGCAAATAAATCAACCAGCTCTGAAAACACATCTAATTCAAATAGTAGGTTGCATAGCTGCAGCAAATATGTCTTATAAATTAGCAAAATAGGTGGGAGGGCGGAGAGGGAGTCAAGTTTAGATGAAAGAATTAAATTTTCTAAACAGGATAGAGGATGACTCTGTAAAACCAGGTACACTTTGTCATCACCAGAACAGTGAGAGAGATTCACTACTATCTCTTTCTGCGTACATGGATTTGGTTTCAATGAACGAAATATTCCCATATTGAGTCATAAGAAAAAGGCACAAACAGCGAAGAAAATTTTCTTTTCGACGATTCATTTTCATGAGCTGTACAATCGTAATTATAATTAACAAAGAAATCTTTAGACCAATCAGATACTGGTAAATTTTGTCCTTGGAAAATTGTATTACATAATGTAAGGTGTAAGAAGGGATGACTAATTGTAAGTTAGAAAGGAAACAGAAGTTGGCATGACGTAATAAATGTGAGATAGTGAATAATCAATAATCTAGTGTAAAATGGACAGGAACTAGTGGAAAGGCAATAAAGTGTTTTTGTATAAAATATGTATGAAAAACAATGTTATTAATAAACAGTAATAGAGTGGTAATAAAATGTGGATGATGGGGACAAAATGATAATAAAAGTATTAATAAAATAAAATAATAATGGTAATAATAGTGAACTTACATAATAAAGGAAAGAAGCAAAATTGTGATAAGAACTTTACTCTGGCCATGGTAAGGCAAGAGATTTGGTTTCAATCCTTTGATAGAGATTATCTCCTCAAAGTGTAGCAAGCCAGGTTTCTTTCGCCTACTGATTATTTTGTACACCTTTAAATTGTCCACAGCATGGCCATTGTCCAGCAGATGGCGCGCAGTCATACTGTTTAATGCATTTGGGCCCTTTAGTCTCAAGTTCTTTGTTGAATTCTGTCCTTTTGTTTCCAAGCATATTTATCTAATTTTTTTATGAATAGTCAGTCCTTTCCACTGTAAGTATTCAACAACGACGTACATCATTCCGGACTAGTGTTACCCTCACTCCCCACTAATTACCCCTTGTTATTGTGGAGAAAGTATGCTAAAAGCTTTAATGTATTTATACAGACTAAGTATTATTCAGGTTGTATGCAGCCTGTTGAGAGGAATCCCTGGAATGCTGAACAAAATCTTTGGAAAATCCCTCCCTTCTGGATGATCTATTCATAATTTATATACTTATGTTTAGACGTTTTGCATAATTTTGTAATTAACACAAATTTTTCCTCCACCTAGACTGTGTATCATTAATTTGACATTTCCGTATAACACGTCGGTTTTTGACCTTTATTATTATTTGCCTTTGTCTTGCTTTGTTAAACCTTTAATTCTAATAATATTTCTCTTTGTGGTTGTGTTTGTGCACTGACAATGTGTTTGCTGTTTAACGATATTAGTATGTTTGAGTGATTGCAGGTGATTCTGACAACGGGGACTGATTGTCTGCGAGAAGGGAAGCGTTGGTGTGTGTTTGTGTGCGTGATTCCTGTGGACAGCGCTTTCGATCGATCACACCTCCTTCATTGGTAATAGTCTTCTCCCCCTCTATTCTGAGGTACCTTTCACAATTAAACCTACATCGCCAGTATGGTAGCTGCCTAACGGTGCTGTTGAGGTTAGTTTGAGTTTTTATTTTATTTTAGTTGTTGTTGAGTAAAACAGCTAAAATATTGACGAAGAAGAATCGTCTTTTCCCTGCCTTTTGGAACGTTTAGTGATAGAGCGTGTTTCAAGGAATTTTTGTCGGCTATAATACAGTGGAAGGTAGATTTTACTTTCTTGCAACCAGACCCACCGTAGCCAAATAAATTTGGTAGTTAAGGTATGAAGTTTTCAAAGAAGCATCTGTCTTCTCAACTTTCATATATATATATATATATATATGTCACTGGAATCTAATCCAATGGTCCATGTATTCCAACTTCTGCTAATTCGTGAAATACATTTAGCGAAACTACCAGCCTATATCACTGGTGAGTAACTCTCCTCTGGCCTAACTTGGTGAACCGCGCTGGTTACGATATTTCACTGGAACCCTAGGGGTTCGAGTTTCAGTGTCTTAATGACAAGCTTTCATTTCTCTCAAGTCTGTGTGGAGATCAACAGCACTAATCAGTATGAGAAATAAGATCCGGATTTTCAACTCCAATGTGAAATCAATGCTACTTACTACATGGATTAGAGACTTGGCCAGTGCGTCATGAAGAGCACTTTGAACAAACTACAGACCTTCATCAACAGATGTCTTCGCTCCATACTACTCAAGATCAGATGGCCGGCCAGAGTGAACGAACCAACCCGTCAGGAACCAATTGTGCAACAAATTTGCAGGAAGAAATGCGGTTGGATTGGCCATACTCTGAGGAAACAAACCATCAAGTGACATCACACGTCAGGCCATCACTGGAGTGGAACTCAAATGGGGACCAATGAGTGGTCAGTGCGAGAGTGACATGGAGGAGATCATTTGAAGGAGAGATGGCAGTATGTGGGCAGACGTGGAGCCAGTTGGAAACGTTGTCAGAGAACCGAACGCAATGGAGACGTGGGAACAATAATAATGGTCCACAACCTTGCCTTATAACCAGAAGATCCTAGGTTCTAACCCCAGGATGTGCATGCTGATGAAGGGTCCTTAACTAGGCTAACGAAAGAGCTGTCCTGTACTACCACGTTTTCCATTGGTTCTCTCTCAATCTTGTAACCAATCAAATCCCTGTAAACTAGCACTTGACAATATATATACGTATATATGCATTAAAACTTGAAATTTCTTTTTAAAGTAAATAATTTAAAATTCTCATGAATATAAATTTTGTTTGTTTCGTTTTTATGTCTCACCTTCTACAAGAATAGATTTATTAAATGAATATATAATACGATCACTTGTATACTCTTTAAAAGTACACTTGACGATAGCTTCACCCACGGTGGTAAATTTTTGACTACCTTTAGGTGGATGAATTAATCCTTTACCATGACACATTTCTACAGTCAACATCTCATTTGATCCCGCTTTAGTAATCTCTATATTCCAATAACCACTGTATACGCCGTCTTCTAAACTCTTCGGTAATAAATGACATTTCATTGGTTTATATGTTCCATTGAGTACTATTATACTGGAGTTATCAATACCATTTAAACTGCCTTCCATACTTTCATCTGTTAAAATTTAAATAAAAAATTAAACAAAAAAATACACCAGAGGTATAAACCTCAATCACTAAATATAACTTCATACATTTGGTTCCCTTGATAAATTTCGATAAAGAAAGGCTGTCTGGATTCAACATAGAACTTGGCACCGAAGTGCAGCAGTTCCAGTTGCCACGTTCCAAAGAGCACACAAAGGTAGACAAGAAAATGAGTGAAGAGAATCAATAGAGTTTTGACAAGTATAAGAGTGAAACAGAATGAGTAATGGTAGAAAGGAATATGAAAGATTACAGAGACTGAATACATCTGCGTAAGCCATTGACAACAATTTTGAGCCATGTCACCTATTGTCTCCAGCCATTGATTCTTAGAGTCCCGAGGGCGGGCCCCAACCCGGAAGTCTGCACCTCCCTACCTGACTCAGTTTAACTGTCAGGGATTTCATGGATTGATAAGGCCATGTTTTTGTTTGGCCACCACTTACTCTTCTCCAACCTGCACTTATATCAGCTAGTAATGCCCGTCGGGGGAGACGATGGTTAGGCATGCGCAGCACGTGGCCTAACCATCTCAATCTATGTAACTTTATAGCCTCTTCGATTGATTTTCCCTCTTTGCCCAACACTCTACGCCTAACGTCAACATTACTTACCTTATTATACCACCTAACGCGAGAAAGAGATCGTAAACATCTGTGGTCAAAAACAGACAATCTCTTCATGTCTTCCGCTCTCAATGGCCACGTCTCACCGCCATAGAGAAGGACGGAGCGAACTGCTGAGCAGTATACACGTCCCTTGGTTGACAGCCGGATGTCACGCCTACGGCAGAGATGGTGTAAGTTAGCGAAAGCAGCCCTAGCTTTTTGGATCCGTGCTGTGATTTCGTCACCAATCAGTCCGGTGTTGCTGATACAACTTCCCAAATAGGTGAAGTGGTCAACATGTTCTATCACTTCACTCCCTATCACTAAGCTAGGAGTTGACGTAGTCCAGTCCTGTAGCAGCATCTTACATTTTACAGGGGCGAAAGGAAGACGAAAGCTGCAGTATAAAATGATATCGTCATTCTATTTCACAGGTTCTCATCAGCTGCAGACGACCTAAAATTACAATGGTTATATAGATGATGATAAAATACTTTAATGTTTGTCTGGTAGTAGAGAAGAAATACTATAAAAATTGACACATCCAAAGTGAAAGCATTACAATTTTTAGTTTAAGTTTTCATCATCAATTTATACGCTTTTAAAGTTGAAAAGAAGGGGAAGGGATAAGACAGAAAACAGAAAAAACTGATTAACAGAACAGTGTTAGCTTCTAAGTTCACATAGCAAAAAAGCGGTTACAGTTTATGAGATTAAGTGAGTTGAGATCACTGAATTAGATGACTAATTAATGTAATCAAAATCAAAATTCAGTTACCAAGGCAGTGAGAGGTTAATCACACTCTCTTTCTGTATGCATAAGTCTGGTTTAAATCGTTTGATTGCGATCGCTTCGGCAAATCGTAGTAAATTTGCCGTCCTTTGTCTATTTAATATTTTGAAGGACTTAAATATCTCTACGAGATGTCCGGTATCAACAATATGTCTGGTAACCGCACTCTGAGAATATTTGCTTCCTTTCAGGCACAGGTTTCTTGGAATATGTTCAGAAAATCGGATAGAAGCCCTTCTTTCTGTCCTTCCTATGTACTTGCTCCCACAAGTGCATGTAAATTCATAAACGCAGTTGGAGGTGATATCAGCGGGTTATTTATGCTGTTTTGAGTGGATTCTTTTTAATGCACCTTTCATTCTTTTTTCAATCTTTTGTGACACTGCATCTCCTTTGAATGGGAGACAAATAAACACTTTTTCTTTTCTACAGTTTGGTGTTTTTCTTTCTTATCTTTTTCTTTGCTATACTTCTGTATAAATCCCTTAGGGTATCCACTTTCTCATAGGCGTTTCTCGACGAAATCTAATTCTTCGACCTTGTTTGGTGAACATAGCTTCCTGGCTTTGTCGTACAAAGCCCTCACCAGTCCACGTTTGTAGCTTATGAGACAAAAGCTGTTATAGTGAAGATATTGCCCAGTCCAGGTTTCTTTTCTGTAGATGGACTTTTCGATCGTGCCTTCGTTTGTTCTTTTTACATCTAAATCCAGGAAATTGAACTCATTATTATTTTCATATTTCATGGTGAATTTGATGTTTGGATGGGTCTCATTTAGGCGATCATTTAATGCCGATGCGTGATCCATTTCGTTGAAAACAACAAATGTGTCATCAACATATCGGCGATAGTAGGTTGTTCCATTGATAGCAGAACATAAGAACATTGATAGCAGAATATAAGAATAAAACTTGGGCACTGTGGTAGAGTGTAACTCCATTATAGATAAGATTTTATTTTGATAAAATCCCACAGTGTTAATAAATAGTAATATTTACTGATTGGACCACCCGTTCCGAGCACAATGTATTGCTTGCTAGTCATAATTATTTCAAGGCACTACTCACATAACTTTCTTGTTTCGTTTATATACATGAGTAAAAAGTTAATTAGACATTCGAATAAAAATCAATATAAGATGATAAAGTACATTCAGAAATGTATGTGAATTGAAATAGAATTTTAAGATTATTTATTATCCTCCTCCTGTGATTTGACTGACTGGTGGTAATAATATCTACCATATACCTCCGGTATTTGCGTTGAATCACTTCTGTTGAGCATGTGTTGGGTGTAAACTCGATGAACCAGAACTCAGTAATCAGTCTCTTTCTCTCTCTCTCCACCTACCTATATTACTTCTTAGAATTTTTACTCTATCCCACCCGCCCTATTGTGTGGTTGTGTGTTAACGCATGCAGTGTGATTGCTGAGTTATTCTTTCTAAAGGACTCATCTTTCTTCGTGGGATCAATCATTCTAACCTTAGCCACTAAATTCTTATGTCCTCATAATCTCACCACTCCTGGTCTACTAGTTTGACCTATGTAGTTGACCTAACTCACAGTCATTGCAAGGTATTTTGTAAATTATATTATTTTGTCTAATTGGGTCAACTGGATCCTTTAACCTACACAGCTTGTAGGTTTGCAGGTTTAAATGCCACTCTAATTTCTGCTTTATAAAGAATCCTACGTGAGAATGGTCTCAGATGTTCCCTCCTTATATGGTATAACTGTAGATGCCTTATATTCTCTCTTATTTATGTTTTCATTATTAGTTTCCTTATTATTTTTATTTTGCCTTTGACTTTTTGTGATCTTCCTAATGAATTTTATAGGATAGTTAGTTATTTCACACCAACGCTTCTTCTTCTATCTGTTTTATTTCATCATTTAGGTCTTTTCTTGTACTACTTAGTGCTACTGCTCGGTTTGTTAGACACTTAACTAAGCCTGCCTTAACAGTTAACGCATAAGGTGATGAATTAAAGTCTAAATATCTATTAGCAGAATGCGTTGGTTTTTTTTATAAAGGGCAGTGTGTAGTTTACCTTCTATTCGTTTTATTTTACAATGTAACACCGTAGCTAATTCTCCTTATTCACTATAGATATTAAAATTAAATTCATAGTGAAATTTTCATGCGTTTGTTTGTGAGTTACTGTATTAGCAGTTGGGTCTTGTAAATCGGTTAGTAGACCATCGGACTAGTAATTCAGCAGCAGCTGGTTTGAATCCTTCAACGATTATCTCACGTTTCAGCATCACCTATGACATCAAAAAGATCGTAAAAACAGGCTGCTAGTCTCTCCCAACTTACTTACTAGCTGGTCCTAAGTCCAGATAAAAAAAGACCAGTTGCATGTAGGCTTAACAGCCGCTGTCCCAAACATAGACTACCCCATTGTTACTGAAATTTGAGGCCATAGAAACTTCATAGTCAACCCAGGACTGTTTCACCATAAACGAATAACCTGTTCATCAACTTTCGAATTTGGTATGAGATTAGGATTGAAAGGAGAAAAGCCACCCGGACATTTATTGTGACAACAGGTGGATAGTAAAGTATCATTCCTTTACATGACAGCTGGATATTATTCGTGGTAGTTACTTGAGTGAAATGATGTTGTGGTTAGGAGTTGGGTCTTGTAAATCGGCTAGCAGAGCATCGGATTAGTAATTCGGAGACAGCTGGCTTGAATCCTCTAAAGATACATATGATCATTTCACTTTTCAGCATTATGCATTACGTGAGAAATATCATCCTGCTTTTCCCATTAATTTTTTCTATTCCTTTACATTCCCAGATACCACACAAGATCTTAGCTCAGAGAGCCACACTACGGATCATCATTGAACAAAGTTTGGAATGGCAGTCAACTCTCTATCTCAACTTCATCGACTTTGAAAAGGCCTTCAGCAGACAGCGTCGATCGAGAGGTGATTTGGCAACTACTTCGCTACTACGGGGTGCCGCCGACAATTATACATCTCATCCAACAGTTGTATGACAACGCTGCATGCCAAGTAATCCACAACGGGAAGCTCACGGAATCCTTCGAAGAGAAGACAGGAGTAAGACAAGGCTGCCTACTATCGCCAATGATTTTCCTGATTGCAGTAGACTGGATAATGCGACAAACAGTGGGCAATGAGGAAACAGGCATAAAATGGACTCACACAAAGAACTTGGATGATCTGGACTTCGCCGATGATATATGTCTGATTCCCCACAAACTCGAAGATATGCAAGCGAAAAGCAACAAGTTGGCAGAAGAAACATCAAAGATAGGAGGGAATTCAGGTGAACATAGAGAAAACGGAGGTGATGAAGATCCCTGGCCAACACCAACAGTAACAACAACAGACAACAATCAGCATGAATGGAAGGAACCTGAAAGAAACAACCTCCTTTACCTACCTGGGAAGCGCCGTTTCAACTACAGGCGAGATGACGAGGATATCAAAGCAAGGATCGGGAAAGCAAGGTAAGCTTTCATTACTCTCAAGTTTGTGTGGAGGTCAACAGTATTCAGCGTCAAAAATAAGATCGGGGTTTTCAAATCCAATGTGAAGTCAGTCAGTGCTAATATACGGATCAGAGACTTGGCCAGTGCGTCATAAAGAGCATCTCAAACAAATTACAGACCTTCATTAACAGTTGTCTTCGCTCAATACTCAAGATCAGATGGCCGGAAAGGATCAGCAACAAAGATCTCTGGGAGCGAACCAACCAGGAACCGATTGTGAAGCGAATAGACAGGAAGAAATGGAGATGGATTGGCCACACTCTGAGGAAACCATCAAGTGACATCACTAGACAAGCCCTCGAGTGTAACCCGAAAGGGAAGCGACGAGTTTGTCGTCCAAGGGTGACCTGGAGGAGATCATGTGAAGAGGAGATGAAAATGTGTGGGCAGACCTGAAGCCAGGTGAAAACTCTAGCAGAGAACCGAACGCAATGGAGACGCATGGCTGAAGCCCTATGTTCCTCTAGGAATTAAAGGAAACAATAATAATAATTACATTCCCAGTGGAACATAGGGCGGCTTCAAGCTAGAGTTTTCAAGTTTCGATAGTATCGGTATTTGTTTCTACAGGATGGGGTTGCTAGCCTCATGTCCAACCTTCGCTCTTTACTAGTCATATTAATGTCTTAGTGACATAAAGGAGTGCGTCCATGGCCGGGGATCTAACCCCGAACTACATGGGGCGTGGTTGGCGAGAATCATACCACTGTGCCACCAATGCACTTTCCATTCATTAGAAAATATAAGAAAAGACATCAACAGCTGGATACTAGACCATCTGGTCCAAAGTGACCGGCCACAAAGCAGGCTAGCATTGAAGAATCCATCTCCATCATCATCTATCGGCTACCGAATAAACCGCCTAAATCATGCAGGTACCGAAGACTCCAGACAGACAGCAGAGGCCATTGTGATTCACCTAAAATAACCAGTGCTCTGTGTGGAGAAGAAACAGGTCTAGCTAGCCATTACTACTTCCCTCACCGGTCTTCAGTGGAGACTATAAATTCATGAGTCCTGTATTATCATTATTTTTCCTAATTTGTCAGATATTCAGTGGGTAGTGCAGTATGGACTAACATGGATGCAGGTGAAAAGTACAGCAGAAGACAGAAACAAGTGGAGACTTGCAGCTGAAGCCCTATGTTCCACTAGGAATCCAAGGGAACAATAATAATATATTATCAGGCTTGCATCGATGCTATTGAACTGTAATCTGTTGATGTTATTGATTGATTCAATGTTGTTACTTAAATAAAATTAACGTCATTAAATAACCCTAATTCTTTCATCATTATTATGGATGCATATAACTGTGGAACCTGATGATGAAGAGCAGGTTACCGAAAAGAATATTCTTTGCTCAGTAGTAATCAATCTTTTGGAATTTTTAATAGGCACTTTTGATCTCTTGTGTGTCCCTTATATTTCGGTTGGAAAACAGTTTCTTCAAGTTTCTTTGAAGTTCTAGTAGTGATGGAGTTATTGTTTTTATCTTGGTAGAATCACATTCCAACTATTCCTTCTCTTTCACTCTTACTATTTATTGACTAGCGAATTACTCGATATTTAGTAATGCCTAAATCCGGTGTTCAACTTGGACTACAGGCATAGTTGGTTTACATTCTGCGGTTAAATTCACCGCTTCGAAATTACTTTAACGATAACAAAACATTATTATTATTATTTAATTGAATTTTAGATTTTCCCGTCCACTGTTTGATTGGACTGAAGTGTTCGGTCACAGGTTGACGTGTCAGCTTCTTGTGCAGATGTTCTGATGATGTCTGAGCATGTAACTGGAAGTTAATTGGTGGATGGTGACAGGTAGTGGAATCCGGGATAAAGCGCGTTTCGTCATATTTGGGACTCATCACTGGATGTGCCTGCATTCCTCCGTGACCAAGACTCGAACCCAGTGGCCATAGTTTCAAACGCCAAAGAGGTTTATCCACTAGACCACTTGGGACACGAGAGCCACTGTCTCTTGTGCAACAGGTCATATCCAATTATTTACATCCTGTGACGAGTCCAAAATAGGACGAAATACGAATTCTGGATTCCACTGCTAGTCACCATCCACAAGTTAGAGATTATTATTATGGTAGATTTCTAGATATGTTCCACATTTTGATGAGTATCAGTTTTTCAGTGTTAGAAAGCTCGCCAACTACGCACATGGTCCAGTTTCACTTACGGCTGACGCACTCTTAAACCTCGCTTAGTCTAACAGACGACAAGAAATCTGAGAAAATGAGAAGGCTATATGTGATACCAGGAACTTCATCCGGTTCAAAACATTTATTCCCCTTAATGAATTTGAATAAAGCAAGAACAATGGTTTTTGCAGAATAAAACACTACCATCATTTATTTCGTTAGCTTTTTTCATCAAACTATTGACGACACTACCTAAGGATTGTGCGACCTTCAGTTCTCAATAGTGAAATCAGAGATTCTGTTGATCCAGTTAGCGATTTATTTTTTATTTTATATTTTTATATATTTTTTGATTACAGCTCGATGCCACACAGTATTTTTAGGTACAGGTATGGAATTTTCAGCACGGATATCGGTAGCTCAAATTTTGTAGGCCAACCATTGATATCGGGTGTGCGCCGGCAGGGGGTCGAACCCCGGGCCATGTGCATGGTCGGCGAGAGTCCTAACCACTGTGCCACCGACGCACAATACGCGAAAGATTTTTGAGAGATGGTGGTAACTTGCAAGTACTCAGTGACTTGATGAGATGGCGAAATGAGAAATTTCTGAATAATCGCCTCCCCCCTGAATTTTTTCAAATCACTCAATCACTTGGTGACAATTCCTTGCAGAATATCCAAAGAAGTGACTCGATTGAAGTTTTACGATGAATGCTCGCAATACCACTGTTTTCCTCGACATCTCTCAAAAATCTTCGATGTATTACGAAATCACACATTGAATTAACAGAATCACTATTTTCAAAATTGAGAACTGAAGCCCGCTTGATCATTCGATGGTGTCGTCATCAGTTTGATGAAAACCTAACGAAATGAAACATGGTAGAATTTTATGCTGCAAAAACTGTTGTTCTAGCTTTATTCAAACTCCACTTCTACTGAAACTTCAAAGCTCAAGGCTTGAAACCACCCCTTCAACCCCGCATGTGCACACGTTGTCCCTTTTGTTCCATTCGTAACATAAATGAGCCTTTAGAAAAGAAACAAAATATTTTCAAGTATTGGTTTTGTAGGGATTTTTGTTTGATTGCATGGAGGATTTCATCATGAGCGGATTTCAGTTAGAGAACCACTGGAAAAAACCTGGGAGTACTGGACAGCTGTTTCGTCCTAGTTTGGGACTCTTCAGCAGTACGCACCCGCCAACAAGGTTCAAACCCAGGACCTTCTGGTTACAAGGCTCAATAATCTGCGAGCTAGCTCACCTTGTAACCAGAAGGTCCTGAGTTCGAACCTTGTTGGCGGGTACTGCGTACTGATGAAGAGTCTCAAACTAGGACGAAACAGCTATCCAGTACTCCCAGGTTTTTTCCAGTGGTTCTCTAACTGATATCAGCTCATGATGAAATCTTCCATGCAATCAAAAAAAAAATCCCACACAATTTGAAGAAGGTAAACTTACCTACAATACTTATTGTTTTATTAAATGTAAATTCTATTTCATATCTGACATATCTGTAGGTACATTCAATTGTTACATTGCCTTTAGTTTTATAATATAATTCACAATATGGTGGTCGTATTACAACTTCATTATTACTTAAATCTAATGAAATGATTTCATTCAACAGATTGGATGATGAATAGACAATACGTCCTGTCCAATAACCTTCTGATCGATATTCTCGTGTTTTTCCTTGTAATATGCCACATTTATATATTTTATTTGAACCAATAGGAGCAATTATATCTGAACTATCAATACCATTTAATGTACCTTTTCTTTCTAAATCTTGATTTATTTAGAGGTGAGAAGAAGAAGAAAAGGCAAAATATTGATCGATAACATCAAAAGTAAAAGTGGGAGAATGATATTAAATTATATTTATTATTATTATTGTTTCCTTTAATTCCTAGAGGAAAATAGGGCTTCAGCCGTGAGTCTCCATTGCGTTCGGTTCTCTGCTAGAGTCTTCACCTGGCTCCAAGTCTGTCCACACGTTTTCATCTCCTCTTCACATGACCTCCTCCAAGTCACCCTTGCACTGACGACCAACTCGCCGCTTCCCTTTCGGTTTCCACTCAAGGGCTTGTCCAGTCACTTGATGGTTTCCTAAGAGTATGGCCAATCCGTCTCCATTTATTCCTGCCTATTTGTTTCACAATCGGTTCCTGCTGCGTTGGTTCACTCATTGCCAGAGATGGCTCCCTGTTGCCGATCTCTTCTGGCCGGCCACCTGATCGTGAGTAGTATTGATCGAAGACAGCTGTCTATGAAAGTCTGTAGTTTGTTTGAGATGCTATTTATGACGGGCTGGCCAAGTCTCTGATCCATATAGTAGCAATGACTTCACATTGAAGTTGAAAATCCGGATCTTATTTTTGATGCTGAGTGCTGTTGACCTCCACACAGACTTGAGAGTAATGAAAGCTTGTCTTGCTTTTCCGATTCTCGCTTTGATATCCTCATCAGTTCCGTCGGCCTGTAGTTGAAACGATGCTTCCCAGGTAGGTTAAAAGAGATTGTTTCTTTCAGGTTCCTCCCATTCATGCTGATTGTTGTCTGTTGTTCTTGTTCTTGTCCAGGAATCTTCATCACCTCTGTTTTCTCTATGTTCACCTGAAGTCCCATCTTTGATGCTTCTTCTGCCAACTTGTTGCTTTTCGCTTGCATATCTTCCAGTTTGTGGGAAATCAGACATATATCATCGGCGAAGTATGATATTAAATAACAGGATTTTATCATGAGCTGACATCAGCACTCGACTACTGGATAGTCAAATCTTTCATCAGCGTAGTTTGGGACTCATCACCAGCACGAACTCACTCGATTGCCAAGGTTCGAACCTACGACCAGTGGGCGCCGAATCTTCAATAGCCGCCAGTCCATGAATTCTAATTTCTACAGGTCGGGTGTGGGGACAGATACTCGCCAGTAATATCATTAGCTGGTACCAGTCGCGCTATAATGTGAGTGGATAAGTAACAGTTGGAATTCATGGGCTGGAGGCCACTGAAGAGCCAAGTCACAGTGGCTTAATGGTCTACGGGCTCACCTTGTAACCAGAAGGTCTTGGGTTCAAACTCTGGCAGTGAGGTGGGTGCGAAACAACACTTGAATGATGTTATTGTTTTATCATTAGTCAAAGGCCACGGTTTTGTAAAATTTTTACATAATAAAATTATACATAAATTATAACATATGTAGTCATGAACAGTAAAACTACACAGTTTTTTGTCCGATGTTACAAATGGACAGATTGTACATAACTTTTGTTTAAAACGACTTCATTGTAAAATATATTATTACCTCTGGCGTACAAATAGAAATACAGGCGTACTGTCCGTCACTTTATCTTCTCACTGGTTCCTACTGTCCTCTTGCTTCGCTAATCCCTCCCTGTTGTATTCTTTGGAATTTCCATCAAACGTCTCATTCTCATCCGAAGACTATTCACAACAATCAGTAAACAACGTCTACTGGTGAACGCAATCCCAGCAGTGAGATGGATCTGTGGATTACACTATTAATTTGTAGCAGTTGGTCTATAACTGTATTTTCAAGTAACCATTAACTTCGATAACTCTTTATCGATATTTCTATAACATACTAACTCAATATTCTTCCACTGAGTCGGATTTTAATTCTGATATTTCATACGGTTAACGAGGTCATAGTTAAATCCATTACAAACATTTCTATTTGTTAACAGTTCATTCTTTAGGTGCTGGCACATCTCTATTAGGTTCACGTCATTGCCGTCACTTTCAAGTGGCTTTAAGAAGACTGGCCTGCACAGCCTTTTGATCTCCTCTACCCCACATGATCTTATTCATGGATCCTCGGACGACTAACTGGTCGGTCGTTTCAAATTGGGGTTGTGCTTCATAGCCTGATGTGTAATATTACTTGTTAAACGTCTTCTCAAAGTGTATGTGAAATGTATCTTCATTTCTCTATGCATATTTATTGGTTAAAAGGTTGTTGTCTGTCTCGATACCAGAGTTCTTTATATTATAATTATTATTCCCTTGGGTCATGAGTAGAAGACAGGACTTCTACAGAACGTCTTCACTTTCTCCTATTTCATGCTGTCCTCTTCATCTAGGCTAACGATTGCCCATAATCTCTCACCGCCTCTTCACATGACCTCCCTCATTTCACCCTTGGACTCACATGCAACATGGCATTTCCCATCCGCTATACACTCGATCGACGACCTGCTCTGTTCACAGAGATTCTTGTTGTTAATTCCTGTCGATAAAAGTTTGCAATCACTTGTTGGATATGCTTTCCGTGACGCACAGTGCAAGTTTCTCATCCATATAGAAGAATTGACTGACCAACTTCACATTTGTGTCGAACAGAATCCGAATCTCGTTCTTTATTCTTCCGGGGAGTGCAGAAGATTTTCAAACTAATTTTAGAGTGATGCAGGTCTGTCTTGACTTTCTGATTATGCCTTTGACATCTTCATCCATGCTGTCGCTTCTAGTTGAAACTGTGCTTCCTAGACAACTCAATGAAGTAACCTCTTTCAAATATCTCTCGTTTACGTTGTGATTGGTGCTGGTTCTTGTTGTTGTTGTTGTTGGTGGTGGTCCGTGGGTATCTTCATCAATTCCATCTTCTCTCTGTGTTCACCTGGAGTTCATTGTTGTACAATTATCCGTTCTGGTTGACCAACTGGTCATCAGTAAAGAGAAAGTACGGCAACTGTTGATTAAAGTCTTCAACAATCTGCTGGAAGAAATACGTCTAGTTATGCTTTCATCAATATTCTAGAACACACAGAAACCCTGAGTGATTAAACACGTCGGACTTGGGAACAAATATTAGCCGAAGACACTCACTAGTAATCGCTCTATGCCGTGAATTGGCAGGATTTGGAATTCATGGACTCGCCAGTGCCTTTGATAGTCTACCGGCTAGTTCACCTTGTAACTGCAACATCCTGGGTTCGAACCCTGACACTGGCCTGGGTGAGTACTGATGAAGAGTGCCGAAAGCTAAGCTGACGAAACACCTAGCTGTCAAATACTGCAATTCTGGTTTTCCAAATGTTAGCTCATAATGAAATCCTGTAGTCGACTGATAAAACTATTGTTAGCTTTCAGTCATTACATCATTACTATTATTATTATTATTAAGACAACGATACAACAGCCTAACTCCAGATCATTACATCATTACTTACCAATAATATGAACAATATTTGTTGTATTTATAATAATTACAGAATCACTTTTAATAATAGATCGAATTTTAACTGTGCCTGACTTTGTATACACTGAACTTGGTCTAGCTGGCATATAGTAATGTTGGTCATATTTTTCTAAAATATCTTTTGGTCCACTTTCTATTGTTAAATCATATTGAGGTTTAAATAATTTAAGATAATAGTCTGGATTACTGTAAATCATTATCCGATTGGATGAACCAACAGTGAGAATTTTTTCTCTATGATCCAAAACATTAACAACAGAAAATAGACGAGACTCCTCTTTATTGTAAGTTATCGAACAAAAAAAAGAAAAGAAAAAATGGTTCAATATCAGCAATAATAATAATAATAAAATTTAGGTACTTTTATTATTTGAAAAGAGGAAGTATGTTATAAATTTTAAAACACTGTTTCTTGAATAAAAAAATATTCTTAATGTAAGTGTAGAAATTGAGCGCTGTGGTGGAATGTAATTCTATATTATAGATAAGTTTAACTGGTGGATGGTGACTAACAATGGGATCCCGGATGAAGCGCATTTCGTCCCATTTGGGACTCGTCAGCCACTGGATGTACCTGCATTTCCCAGTGAGTGATGATGCTCCCACCGAGGCTTGAACCCAGTGCTTATAGTTTCAAACTGTACAATCCAAGTGGTCTAGTGGATAACCTCCTTTGGAGTTTGAAACTATGGTCACTGGGTTCGAGCCCTGGTGGGAACATCATCACTCACTTGGGAATGCAGGTACATCCAGTTGACGAGTCCCAAATAAGACAAAATGTGCGTTATCCTGGATTCCATTGCTAGTCACATCCAACAATTAAATTCTAATTACATGCTCAGACATCGTCGAAGCATTTTCACAAGAAGTTGACGTGTCAACCTGAGACCTAGCACTTGGGTGCAGTCAATCAGTGGACGGGAAAATCTAAAATTCAATTAAAATATAGATAAGTTCATTTCAAATACCATACAGTGATGGTGCATAAATTACCGTCAATTTGGTTACAAGGCTTCACAATTTGTCTTGTAATATATATATTCTCTTTTTCCCTCCCTCTTCTCCGTATGGTTTCTTGCCGATTTCAATACCTTCAGTATAGGCATTGCGGAAAAAACCCAACACCTGGTGAACATCATTTGTAATTTTGCAGCAAAGAACGTTTTATTGACTGATTTGGGGAGACGACTTATGAGCATATTTGAAGCCTGACAACCTTTGAATTCCAAGTTCATGAATAAGGTTTTCTTTGGAATTGAGTTGGTGACCAGTTTAATCTGTTTATCATCTTTCGTGTTACTGTCAATAAATCAGTTTGGGTAACCTAATTCATTCGCTCTGCTTTAGGGATAAGAAATATTTGTAGTTCTGATTGCGTTGACACAGAAATTGACTTCCTAAAAGCCAGGCTCGAAGAAAACGGTTACCAGAATCCATTTATTTACAGTAGCACGAAAGATGACAAGCAGTTCAAACTGGTCACCGACTCAGTTCCAAAGAAAACCTTATTCATAAACTTGGAATTCAAAGGTGGTCAGGCTTCAGATATGCTCAAAAGCCGTCTCTCCAAATCAGCCAATAAGACATTCTTTGCTGCAAAATTAAAAATGATGTGAAAGGCTTTAGCTGTTGACAGCGGAAAACTTGAAAAGGCTAGCTGCCTTTACCCAGTAGATGTTTACGTTCTAACTCATGTATTTAATAGTATCATACTTTCACACTCTCTGATAACCGACGAGAAAGAAAAAGGAGAAGAAATATCAAACATTACTGAGACTCTCAAGCAAAACAACTACCCATGGAAATTCATCAACAAAATCAACACAGACATTAAGTATGGGCGAAAACGCATTCCGAAAACATGGACATCAACAGTCGTCATTCCATATAGAGCAGAGACGTCAAACGATATCAGAAGAGTACTCAATCAGCTCGACATAGGAGTTTTCTTCAAAACATCAGACACACTACAAAGCAACCTTGTCCATATAAAAGACGAAATCCCTAAAGACTCTCTATCTAATTTTGTCTATAAAATAAAATGCTTGGAATTTGATGCGATATACACCGGACAAACATCTCGCGAAATCAAAATCAGAAGAAATGAATAGCATATAGCATCTCTTCGACCACCGAGAAATCCCGTTAAACTACAAAAGCTTGAAAAATCATCAACCATAGGTCTACATGCTATAGAATCAGGTCACAAAATTGATTTTGACAATATTGAAATAATCCAGAAAAACTTCAAAAATCACAAAGAACGTCTCACATCATTAGAAGCACCTCATATCAAGTGGAATCCAAATTGTCTGAATAGGAATGATGGACTAAAACAGAATCTGACCTGGTTACAACACCTCCCTCACCCATCAAGTGACAAAATCAACACGAATGTGATAAGTAAGTTCACTGTGTAAACACACACTGCCTTTATAATTTTAAACACTGATCAAATCCAACAATTTACACTTGGTTTGTTATCTTTACCAATTGACCAACTTGACAACGAAAACTGACCCCAGACAGACGAACGATGATCAAGTTAGTAAACTTTATTTTGATATCATAACAGACGTACTATTACATTTGTTATTTGGTTTAGTGATCTTCATTGGTATTTTTACTTTCAATATGTCCTTTTAACTTGACCTAACTTGTCTATTTTCTCACCCCCTAACTGTTTGTTATATACATGCTGGGATTTTTAAAATTCCGTTTTAATAATACTTTGATAAAGGTATTAGCACTAGATAGCGAAACGTCAGTAAAAACAACAATATCGTTTTGTTTTTCATTCATTGGGAAATACAAAGCCTTTATTATAATGAATATCATACGTTCAGTAATAATAAAGTTAAAAGTATGTAGGGAGAGTTGATCAAGTTAGGTTGTGATACTCCATCGACAGAGGTCACTAGGACACGTGTCATACATGTCAGGACATTGTCTTCTTCGTTGAACATAGGATAAGGACAGTTGGTTAGGTAATAGTATTGCCAATCCATGAAGTCAGTGACCATTGGTTTGAGCCACATAAGGAGATATAAATTGTTTGGTATGTGTCTCGAAACGCTAGGAACCAATGGCTCAAGATTGTTATTGACAAGGTTCTAAATCAATATCACTAGTACACATGTATTAACACTCCTTCTGAATTCCTAGATCGATCAAATTTTTATTCAAGTGTTGGTTTGTAGGGATTTGATTGGTTACAAGATTTAAATCATGAGCTGACATTAGTTAGAGAACCATTGGAAAACCTGGGAGTACTGGAGAGCTGTTTCGTCCTAGTTTGGGACTCTTCAGCAGTATCTTCGGCGATTATTTGTCCTCATACCCGACCTCTGCATCCTACTGTTCACGACTTCTCACTAGAACCCCAGGTAACTACCATTGTAACTAACATTGGCTAGGGGTCGCGCTATGTCGTTAATTGGCAGAAGTTAGAATTCATGGGCCTTTGGATCGGGTCCCAGTGGCTTAATGGTATGCGAGCTCGCCTTGTAAACTAGAAGGTCCTGGGTTCGAACCCCGGTGGTGTGTGCGTACTGCTGAAGAGTCCCGAACTGGGACGAAACAGCTGTCCAGTACTCCCAGGTTTTCCAGTGGTTCTCTAACTAATGTCAGCTCATGGTGAAAATCCTGTAACCAAATTTTTATTCTTCTTCTTCATGTGCTTATTCTTTCTGCCGTACTGTTGCATTCATTGTGGATCCTTTGAAATTTTATTTTTCGTTATCTTTGTGTGCTAATATGTAGTGTGCCAACTTGAACTGCCACTCTTTGATGCTAAGCTGTACGCTGAAAATTTTTAGTTCAACAAAGGAATCTCTGAAAGTTGATAAACTGTCCAGCCCTTGTTGATATCTGATATACTGATCTTTGAATAGAGATTACTGTCTGGTCTTTTGGTAAGTAGTACATCCAGGAATAGAAATGGCATGTTTGATTCACGGGGGAATTTCATTGATGCGGTGAGCCGTGTAGAAGTTTTCGAGGATTGTTAAATATATAATTACGATTGTACTGCTTATGAAAATTAATCGTCCAAAAGAAAATTTTCTTCACTGTTTTCATCTTTTTCTTACGTTACCGATTTGTCCAAGTGGAACGACAGAAGACAAGGACCAGGTAACAGATCGTTTATTGAGAAAATCAACAAATATTTAAATATATTTTATGTACATTATTATTCGTTATTATTAACAGAGAAACAGCGTCTTCTGATTGGTTGTTGTTTTCTCACTGGCAGTTAATCCATCATCTCTTTCTGGCCAGTTCTTTAAAGGTCAGACCGTATATATCTGCGAATCGTATCCACCTACGCAAAGTCTTTGTTCTTGTTTGTTTTCTCATGACCAAGATATGGGACGTAAACATTGACGTGAATTGCTGTCTACCAATTTCGGCTAGCGGACAGCTCTCACCACACAAGTAGATAGTCACAATTGGGATGGTTTTAAACCGATTCAACCTGGTACACCAGTAATGAGCTTCACCTCAGCCGACTGAATCAGTTGTCTAGCGTTTGAAATAACGTCAAACTGGCTTGCAGGCATTACTGGTTGATACGAGTGTTATCTAACTACTCATATCAATCAGTTAGTAGTATAAAACATCATCCATTTATATTTCGTTTCTTGATTCCCATTCATATTATGAAACAGATCACATACTTTGGTCTGAATTATCTCACTTCCAGAAAGAAACTGTGATCAATTAATCACCGCGACCTGCGTATTTCGTAAATTGTTGATTTGATTTAAGCGGTCACAAGTTTACCCGAGTAACTAGCCAGAAATAAAGTGAATGAATTGTCAAGTATTGGTTTTGTAGGGATTTTGTATTTGGTTGCTTGGAGGATTTCATCATGCACTGATATCAGTTAGAGAACCACTGGAAAACCAGCTGGGAATTCTGGACAGCTGTTTCGTCAACCTAGTTTTGGGACTCTTCTCAGCACGTACCCACCGCTGAAGAGTCCCAAAACTAGGACGAAACAGCTCGTGAATGAATTGCTTTGGCTGCCTGAGCTCAGTTACACCAGGTGATGAGCTCAGCCATAAACAAGAGAAATGGCCGTCTGGCGTTTAGGTCACTTCGACGTGGTTGGCTGGCGAGCACTACTGGTTGATATGAGTGGTATGCAACTGCTACTCATTTCACTCAATCAGTAGTATATATAGTTAACTAATCGATTTAAAAGTTAGAATGACTGAAAAAAAAGAGAAAAATATGAAGACAGTAGAGAAATTAGCTTACCTTGAATTCTTATTGTCTTTTTAAAAGTAAATATAGTCGTATTATCATAACGATTTACAAAAATACACTCAACTATACATTGACCACGAAATTTGTAAATAGAATAACCGTTAGGTGGTTTAATAATTGCCTGTTGTGATTGATGAATTATACTGGCTTTTTGCGGTTCTGTACTAATTATACGACCATACCAGGTACCGTTTAATTGATCCTCTACACTGCTTGGTAATAATCCACATTTTATTGTTTCTTTAGAATCTCTTGGTATGTCAATATTAGAATTGTCAATACCATTCAAAGTTCCGTGTAGATTGCACTCTGTAAAAAAGAATAATGATAGTAATAAAGTAAAGTATTGATTATGACTGAATGAACATCCGGGTGTTGGTTTGCAGAGATTTGATTGGTTACAGGATTTCATCATGGACTGACATCAGTTAGAGAACTATTGGAACACCAGCAAGGAGTACTGGACAGCCAGCTGTGTCGTCAGCCTAGTCTAGACTCATGTGTAATACGCATCCATCCCACGACCAGGGTTCGAACCCAAGACCTTCCGGTTACAAGGTGAGCTCTTAGACCATTAAGCCAGTGGGACTTGAATCCCCAGTGGCTGCCAGCCCATGAATTCCAACTTCTACTAATTCACGCATTATATAATGCTACTGGCACCAGCTAGTATGTCATCGCTGGCGAGAATTTGTCCCCACACCCCAGCTGCTGTACCCCATTGGTCAGGACTCAGGTGGATAGTTACCCGGTTTTTAGTGGGAAATTGTGATTGAGTACTGGTGAAGGGTCATAAATAAGAGCGAAACAGTTGTGCAGTATTCCAGTGATGGTTTCTCAGTGGTTCACTAGCCGACGTCAGCTTTTGAAGAATAGGAAAGCCCGACAAAAAGCGTATGAATTAAAGCAGATAGGAGTAAGGCAAGGCTACCTACCATAGTAATCTTAAAATAACGTAAACTGGTAACTGGCAGATAATTCCTACCATGCATCTAGTTCTTGATGGTGATGCCGATTGAATGGTATCAGTCAAGATTTTGCACATGACTTCGGTTACTCCCTGATTACTAATCAATGCATTCATTACTGTCCTATATTATTAGCATATTATTATTGTTCCCTTGGGTTACGAGGACTGAATAGCACTGCCACAGCGTATCTCCACTTCATTCTATTCTCTAAGATCCTCTTCACCTAGCCCAACGATTGCTCAAAATCTCTCACAACCTCTCAAAACGATCTCCTCCGTTTCACACTCGGACACACACCGAACTCGTAAATTCTTGTTAGGGTTCCAGTCGAGACTTTGACTAGTGCACGATGTCACTAGATGGTCTCCTCAGTGGCGTGTGTCCTATCCGTCTCCATTTTCTTCTGCGTATTTGTCGAGCAATAGATTCTCGGTTGATTCGCGCCGCCCTCCACCATTTCCTTGTTGTTAATTCCTTCTCACCAGTCGGCCACTTAATCTTCAATATGGAGACAGTGAAGGGGACAGCTGTTGATAAACCTCTGTAGTGGCCTGTCAGAAGTATTTTTCGTGACGCGCCCGCCATGTTTCAAACCCATGTAGAAGGAATGACTGACTGACTTCACATTTGTGTTGAACAGAATCCGAACCTTTTTATTCATATTTCATTGGAGTGCAGAAGATTTCCAAGCTGATTTCAGGGCGATGAAGGTTTGTCTAGATTACTGTCCCACAGGAGGCCAACAGCAGCTATGCCAAATAGATCAGTATCAAAAATCTCCTGATTACAATACTGGTTGAGGCTAGTTGAAATCTCATAGGGGACACCAATCCCATCGATACTGCTGATACGTCATGGTGAAGAGTACCAGCAAGCTCGTAGTCTGAGTCTAAGGCATCCTGCTTACTGCATACGACTATCAAACATTACATCTGAGATCTATTCAGTCCTAGGAAGAGAGAAAAATCACGAAACAATGATCGTCAACTTCATTGTGCCAAATGCTAACACATCTCTAGAATATGGATTACAGAGTAATTTTTAAAGTCCTCATGAAATCATTCCACATAATGAAATATTTCATTTGATTTACTTCCTCATTTTAAGATGTACAACTCCTAAGTAAAACATCACCATTGTTTGTGATGATATTAGATGGTTGGAGGCAATCGGCAGGATGGTGGCCACATTACAACCTGACTGACAGAATTCAGTCTACACCAAAGAGAGGACTAGACGCATCACACTAGTTTCACTAGTGTCAAATCAAAACATCACCATACCAAACACCTTCTGATCAATCATTGAGAATAAATCATCACATTATATTGTTGGTAAAAAACGTTCACATTACTGAAGTTATTTCAAATTTTTCGTTAATTGAGATTACATTGAATCAAAATACCTAGTGTGTCCTTTGATAAGTTGGCTCCAAGTTATAGACACTTCAGCGATGCTTGAAAATTAACACAGTCTAATTTTCGACTTGTCAACTGGATGGCGTGCTTGCATTCCATGTTAGTGAACATCCATTCTCTGGGACTCAAGGATTGTATTCGTTGTCTCATCAAATGCCAGACCACCATTCTGTAGGGAAGTGAGGTGGGTATAAATTCTTATTTGTTTAAGTGAATTTTCGCACTTCCTGATGACTGGTCAAAAATATTTGTCCTGTTTTGAGAAGTCATCTGCTGTAATAGATGCTTCAGCGATGCTTTCAGGTAAAAAATAATGTGCTGTACCGTTCATAATGCTACTAATCAATAACAGAAGTTCAGCGATTATCATGTACATAGTTTAAGACAACTGTATTACCCTTATATTGTAATTGGCGCTTAAAATGTTTGAAAAAATTAGTCAAACATTCTTTCATTGATAACTTGAATAATACTGAAAGATCGATAGAATCCATTTTACATTTTTTAATATCACGGGCAGAATAGATGTTGTCAAAACCAGAATCGGAAAGCCAAGGTACGCCATCAATCAAAAGTCAGTTAGGAAATCTTCTGCACTCCACCGAAGTATAAATAACAAGGTTCGAATTCTGTCCAACACAAATGTGAAGTCAGTCAGTCAGTCATTCCTTGTATATAGGCTTGAAACATGGCGGGCGCTTCACGAAAAGTACTTCTGACAGGCCACTACAGATGTTTATCAACAGCTGTCCCCTTCACTGTCTCCATGTTGAAGATTAGGTGGCTGGCTGGCCGGCTGGCTGGTGAGAAGGAATTAAGAACAAGAAAATGATGGTGGGCGGTGCGAATCAATCGGGAATCTATTGCTGGACAAATACGCAGAAGAAAATGGAGACGGATGAGATACACGCCACTGAAGAGACCACTTCGCAACATCGCTCGCTAGTCAAAGCCTCGACTGGGATCCGAATGGGGAACAAGGAGTTCGGTGTGCTCGAGTGTGACACAGAGGAGATCGTTTTGGGAGGTGGTGAGAGATTATGGACTGTCGTTGGGCTAGGTGTGGAGGATCTTAGAGAATAGAATGAAGTGGAGATATGCTGTTGCAATCCTATTTTCCACTTGGAACCCAAAAGGACAATAATAATAATAAAGCTACTTATGAAATGCAGTAACTTGAACTCATACGGCAAAATTCTGTATCTTATTGCTTTCCTTTTACCTTTTGAACAACAGCTTTTTCTGAGAGAAAAAATCACTTCTTCAGACGTTTTAGATGACATCCATGTTTGTTCATTTCTGGTGTTTATAACTTTATATATACATGTGTACTGTTAAGCATAAATAGCCATGTCCAGGGGTTCACTGAAGTATACATAGATCTAATTTTGATTTACACTGGTACCAATAGTTCCAATGTAATCCACAATGAGTGAATTACTAATTCTTTGTAATTGGTGGTAACTTTCAATAGAATTCAAAATTTGCTTTTTGTCTTTGAACTCACTAACTGGATGTACCTACATCGACAATGAATGAAAGTGTTTCTAATGAGACTTGGATCAAACACCCATAGCTTAAAATACATTAAGCAATACCATGTTGTCGCCCCTGTAAAATGTAAGCTGATGCTGCAGGATTGGACTTCACCGACCTCTAGATTAGAAATAGGAAGTGAAGTGGTAGAGCACGTTGACCGCTTCACTTACTTGGGAAGTACCATCAGCCAGTGCCAATGGGTTGATCTCTGACGAAATCTCAGCACGGATACAGAGGGCTAGGTTCGCATATGCCAGTTTACGCCGTCTCTGGCGTAGACGTGATATTCGACTATCGACCGAAAAGCGTGTGTACTGCTCAACAGTCCGCTCCGTCCTCCTTTATGGCTGTGAGACCTGGCCATTGAGAGCAGAAGACATGAAAAGATTAGCTGTCTTTGAACATATGTGTCTGCGTTCTATCTCCCGCGTGAAGCGGCATAATAAGGTTAGCAATATTGAGGTTAGGCCTCGGTTGAGTGCTAGGTAAGGAGGGGAAATCAGTCGACGAGACTGTGAAATTACATCGACTGAGATGGTTAGGACATGTGTTACGTATTCCCAGCCTAGTCATCGCCTTCCTCGACAACGGGAAATGTTGGGTGATATAGGGTCAGGTTGGAAAAGAGCTAGCGGTGGTCAAACCAAAACATGACACCAGTCAGTGAAATCCACAACAGTTAGCCTAAGACACGTAGGAGGTGTAGACTTCCTGACTGGTTGGAGTCCTCGGGACGATAAAAACCAATGATTGGAAACAATTGGTGACATGGCTCAAAATCGTTCTCAATGGCTAACGCAGATGCATCCACTCCTTGTGACTTATGATTTCCAATGAAACTGTTTTGTTCTTCGTTATTACTATTCCTTTGTCTCACACCTCTGTTTACTGTCTATATTATGCATTTCTCCTACTTTCTTCTCTTGCTTTGTGTGCTACAAGGAGGGAGTGTGGAGACTTGAACTTCCGCACATATGTGCAAAGTTCTATGTCGAAAACCGACCGACCGATGTTGTTAACATTCTCGGCATTGTGGAAGCGTCTGCACTAGAAGGTGCCATATCAGCAAAGACACAGAACTTCTGTGAAATATGAAGTAGTTATTCCAGTGTTAATTAGCAAGGATTTAATTCGTTATAGGATTTCATTATAAGCTGATATCGGTTATACAATTATGTGGTTAACCAACGTCAGAGTACTGCAGAACTATTTTAGGTTTCTACGATCCTGTCTTATAACGGGAAGTTCCTCAGTTTGGAACTCCAGTGAATGCGTACAGTTGCAGAGTCACAAACTAGGCTGACAAAACAGCTATCCAGTACTCCATTGGTGGTTTTCTCATGGTTCTCTAACCAATGTCAGCTCAAATAATAATTAGTCAACACGGAATACCAAAAATTAACTTGAACCAATAAGAAATCTATTGCCTACCTCACAAGAGGGGGCTATCTTGTCTTAGTGACCGAATAAATAAAAAAGAGTCGGTGGTAACAGGTTCGCCTACTGTAGATACAAGTAAACCCAGCCGATAAGTCTCAAAGAAGATGAAACTCACGCCTCGGATTCTACTTCTAGACACTCAATCATCAAATAACACAAACAAAACAAACAGAATAAAAGAATTTCTCACCGCCAACATACTTGTAATATCTATAGATTTATTAAACTTGTATATAATTCTGCTTTCATCAGCCTTTAATTCACATTGTATCTGTAGTCTATCAGTCATATTATAAACTGTATTACCTATAGGTGGTTGAATCAATACTTTATTGTCTTTTTTCACAATAGATATTGCATTAGACAAGCCACTGATTATTTGTGCTTCCCAATACCCATTGAATAGACTTAAATAACTTTTAGGCAATAGACTACATTCGAATGTTTTATTTGAACCAAGTGATACAATTTTATTGAATTGATCAATTCCATCCAATGAACCTTGAAGATTACAATCTGAAATATATATAAAAACAGAAGAAAATATCAAAAGATTCATAAACTCTGACAAGTAAAAAAACAAAGTATAAAAATGTTCATGTATGATAGAGAAGATTTGTAGCTCAGGTGCATGATATTGATGTGGTTCTGTTCTCTGAGCTGGATAGTTAATTTGCGGAGCTTTCATCACCCTACTAAGTGACATCTTCAGCGCATACTTCAATTTGAATTGAGCTTTTAGATTTCTTCATGAGTTTATTAAACATTTCTCCTGGTGACCTTGGACGTGTATTTTCACACCTTCTAGGTTACTTGTATTGTCACTCATTGAAGAAAGATATCTCATGGACGTCTTCCAAAAGAATGGATACCCACGGAATTTCATCAAAAGACATATACCCCCAAGCCAACCTATCAAACCAAAAGCCCCCAGGGAAAACACAAAGAAAATCGCCTTACCATATATAAAGGATATCTCAGAAATCACTACAAGACTCTTCAAACCTTTAGGAATTGACATCGTACACAAACCAACAAAGTCACTTCACTCAATTCTCTGTCAACCAAAAGACTCAACAGCGAAGGAAGATAAAACTAATATCATCTACAAAATAGATTGTATCAACTGCGGAAAGCACTACATTGGACAAAGTGGACGTCCCCTTCGTCTTCGTATCCACGAACATAAGCTAGCTGTCAAAAGACATGATATCCACTCCCTCATATCGCTTCACTACATACAGACAACCACGGACATCAATTCGACTAGGACAACGTTCAAATATTAGACAGAGGAAACAACAAGAATGCTAGAGAATTTTTAAAAGCTTAGCATTCCAGTGAATCATCAATCAGTAGACACATCGAGATAGACAAAATTTACCAACCGATAAGAAAGAAACCTCACACACCAAAGGGTCAAAGTTCAAGTCAAAGAAACAGTCAGTTCCAATACAAGTAGCCTAGAAGGTATGAAAGTACACGAAAACAACCAATCACGTCCAAGGTCACGGGGAGAGATGATTAATAAACTCGTGGAGAAATCTGAAAGCTCACTTCAAGGAATTGAAGTATGCGCTGAAGATGTCACCTAGTAGGGTGATGAAGGCTCCGCAAATTAACTATCCAGCTCAGAGAACACAACCACATCAAAATGTTCATGTGTTGGTTTACAGGGATTTGATTGGTTACACTGTTTTATCATAAGCTGACATCGGTTAGAGTGTAACAACAGAAGACAAGCAAGGGTCAGGAAACAGATCGTTTATCTATGAAATCAACAGATATTTATAGATTTTCATGTACCTTATTATAGATTATTGTTGGCAGACATACACCGTCTTCTGATTGGTTGTTTCCTCACTGAAAGTTAATCTTTCATCTCTTTGTGACCCTTTCTTCTAAGGTCACACAATATATCTGCGAGCCGTATCCACCCACGCAAACAAAGTCTGCTGTGATTGGTTGTTGAGTCAGTCTTTGTTCTTGTTTTCACATGACCAATATTTGGGACATAAACAACATTGACGTAAATTACTGTCTACCGAGTTCGGCTAGCAGACAGCTCTCATCACAAGAGAACCATTGGAAAACCATCAGTTTTCCAACCCATGACGTTTCCTCTTAGACTATTAAGCCGTTGGCGAGCCCAAGAGTCCTAACATCTGCCGATTCATGATTTTAATGACACTGGGACAAGCCATTGACATCTTTGGCGAGTATTTATCAGCACACTCGACTTGCAGAAGTTGCAATTCATGGGCTGGTGGTCATTGAGAGGAGTCAGGTCCCAGTGGCTTAGTAGTCTATGAGCTCGCCTTGTAACTGGAACATCCTGGGATCTAACCATGACGCGATGAGTCTCAAACTAGGTTGACGAGAGGTTGACTGTCCAGTGCTCGAAAGCTGGTTTCCCAATGTTTATCTAACTGATATCAATCCGCGAGGATACTTGAAACAAAAGGAATGGTTACAATGGTGTCATTTAAATTTAAGGGTTTTAGATAACGTTCCTGAGATTCTAAATTTAGTAATATAGAAGGGATCAATTAGGTGGAAACTATCATAAAATTAAATAAATAGATTGAATGACGCAGCATAATTGATAGGAGTGAGTTTAATGCAACTAGAATTGGAAGAGGAACAAGTTTAGATCAGTGTCAGAAGAACTAGAAATATAATAATGAGGAAGGCGAATAATAATCAGATTAAGCATTTAAAACATTGGACTTTATAAAAAATTATCTACGAAATGATGAGATAAATCCACTTACTCCTGTGGAATTAGGTGTCTAAACCTTATTCAGAGTTTGTCGTCCAAATGTATCATCGAACATCTACTCTTAATGGCTTATAGAGGCGATTATAGCTATCCCTGGCAGCTCTGTTCTGGAACACCGTAACCATTAGATAGTTGGAGGCAATCGGCCACAAGAAGCCTTGCCTAGACCTAGGTTTCGTGTTAGTTGGCACTCATCAGGAAGGTGTATCTGCAACCTTGAAGGAACTCATGTCCCTTCTGAGATTCGAACCCACATCACCCAGTGCCGGCTGCAGTCAGAGACGTTACCACTGAGCTATTCGGGCTCGCGATTGACCTCCGGTCGGTCGGTCGGTCGGTTTCCGACATAGAACTTTGCACATACGTGTGGCAGTTCAAGTCGCCACACTCCCTCCTTGTAGCACACAAAGCAACAGAAGAAAGAAGAAGAAATGCATAATATAGACAGTAAATAGAGGTGTGAGACAAAGGGATAGTAATAATGAAGAACAAAACAGTTTCATTGGAAATCATGAGTCACAAGGAGTGGATGCATATGGGTCATTGAGAACGATCACTTTCAGCCATATCACCGATTTTCCCCAGCCATTGGTTTTTACCATCCCGAGGACCCCAACCAGTCAGGAAGTCTACAGCTTCCTACGTGGCTGGCTGGCTTAAACTAACTGTTGTGGATTTCATTGACTGGTGCTAAGTTTTCGTTTGACCGCCACTAGCTCTTCTCCAGCCTGACCCTATATCAGCTAACATTGCCCATTGTGGAGGAAGGCGATGACTGGGCATACGTAACACATGTCCTAACCATCTCAGTCGATGTAATTTCACAGTTTCGTCAATTGATTTCCCCTCCCACCTACCTACCACTGAACGCCTAACCTCAGTATCGCTCACCTTATTACACCACTTCGCGCGGGAGATACAATGTAGACACCTATGATCAAAGACATCTAGCCAAGTTTTTCAGGTCTTCCACTCTCAATGGCCAGATCTCACAGCCAGAAAGGAGGACGGAGCGGACCTCCTGTAAGACTGTAGTGGGTATTTCATTGGACACTAGCAACTATCGTCACGTGTATAGTCCTGACTGATAGAATTCAGTCTGCACAAAATAAAGGACTAGACATGTCACACTAGTTACTAGTGTTCAGTAAAAACACCGTATCTATTCTGAACATAAAACGAACTCACAAACCAACTTCAGAGTTATCTATAGAGTACGTGCAAAACTTTGCCAAAATGAATGCTAATCAAACTTTTTTAAACCGCAGAAGTTACGGCTATCCGCATGTTTAATCATGAACTTGGTACACAGAAGAAGTTTTTTGAGTCACTTCATCTACAGCTGACCTAATTTACCTCCTCATCTGGTAAATGATTTTTGTTCAGTTTTAATTTTTCTTTTTCTTCTCAATCTCTCACTACCACATTTCTAGTCCTTGTCGCACCGATCTTAAATTGATCCTTTCTCAATTTTAGTTGAGCTGAACTCACTTCTGTCAGTCACGTCACATCACCCAATCTACTTATTTAATTGAGGGAAGTTAGAATTCATAGGGTATTGAATTCCAACCCAAGTTACTGAATGGTCAAAAGGTTTGGCCTCGTGACCTGAACATTTTTGGGTTCAATCCCTGGGGGTCAAAGCTGCATACCTTTGAAAACATTCCTTTAGCGAAGTTAAACTATAACGATCCATAGAATGCGAACGTATGATTGACCTTGAGCCAGCCAATCAGAAAATCCAGTGTATTTTACATACAAATGACGTTTGTTTCCAGGAGAAATAATTGAAAACAAATTAAACAGGATATTTTTCCCTGACATGACTTAAAAATACCTCTCAATTATAATGAGAAGTATCAGTTTTAAAGTTAGACCAGTTTCAAGGTGACTGAAGATGAGTCCATTCTGTGATATATTTATCTTCAAGTATTGGTTTTGCAGGGATTTTGTTTGATTGCATGAAGGATTTCATAATGAGCTGACATCAGTTAGAGAACCACTGGAAAACCTGCAGGGAGTACTGGACAGCTGTTTCATCAGCCTAGTTTGGGACTCTTCAGCAGTACGCACCCATCCACCGGGGTTCGAACCCAGGACCTTCTGGTTACAAGACGAGCTTGTAGACTATTAAGCCACTGGGACTCGATCCAATGGTCCTTGAATTCTAACTTCTGCCAATTCACGACATAGCGTGACTATTTCGCAATGTTTTCTTCAATGAGTTACTGCCTCGTCTTCAACCTGCTCTACCCTACTGGTCACGGCTTCTCACTAGAACCCCAGGTTAACTGCCTGAATAGGGCCAGTCACTAGTGAGCATCATCTTATCCTGTTATTCAGTCTTCCCGAAAAGCCCTCGATTGAATTAGTATGGATTCCAATAAGCGGGTCGAAAACTATTTAGAAGAGAAATGAGGATAGTAAAAATAAAACTCCCCAACCCTAAACTCCACCTGTAACCCTAATCATAACCTATAATCCTAACTGTAACGCTAAATGTGACCCCAGTGAGAAATGAACACATTGCCCAAACGGCACTTAAAAACGAGATTTTAAATGAAATTTGCACCTCATTTCATAGTAGCTCTATAATAATGGTAGGTCTCTTGATCTAACGAATAGTATACATACAAGGTGAGTGAGGTGCGTCCACATTCCAGTATCGTGATACTTTAACCTGGCTGTTCCTTTACGTTGCTGTGACAACCTACTATATACACACATGCGATAATACAGATTAAGTATGATGTCGTTGAAAAGAGTAATTCTTCAGTGAAAGCCTCTTCTCTGAATAAATTCACGATTGATAATAGATAATTAATTATTGATATCTTCTTATGTGATTAATAATAACAATAATCACTTTATTCCAAAAAAGAATAATAATTATTACAGGATTTCATCATGAGCTGACACTGGTTAGAGAACCATTAGAAAACCCGGGAGTACTGGACAGCTGTTTCGTCCTATTTTGGGGCTCTTCATCAGTACGCACCGGGTGTGAGAACGAATTCTCGCCAAAGACATTGGGTATCGGTCGCGCTATGTCTTGAATTGGCAGAATTTGTAATTCATGGGCCATTGGATTGGGTCCCAGTGGCTTAATGGTCTGCAAGCTAGCTCGCCTAGTAACCAGAAGGTCCTGGGTTCGAACCCCGGTGGACTGTGGGTATTTATGAAGAGTCCCAAACTAGGACGAAACAGCTCTCCAGTACTCCCAGGTTTATAAGTTCTTTTCTGACATCTAACTGACTCTTCACACGCAAACACCCGTGCTAAATACAGTAGTATTGTAGAATTTTTATTTGTTAGTAGTTGTGCAAGCATAAATGCTTCTGATGAAGTTTATTCTGGTTGCCAATCACAAAGAGGATGTTCGTTATCAGACCTGATAACTTTAGCTAACCGCTTTCAAGAATTGAAATGTCTATCAATCAACAACAATGTCAGTTAATTGAGTCACTGGCAAACCACTAATCCTGCTTACGGCCTACATTTTTCTGCATAAAATTACACTGTCCGTTGTTTTTTGAGAAGTCCAGGGAAAAATAATGGCGAACAATAAAGAAGACGAAGAGTTGGCAGAATACTTGAATCAATCAACTGGAAGAGAAGAGGTCGAATTTCGCCAGCATAATGTCTCAACTTCTTTATGATGTGATAAGTTAAACGAAAACTTTTCTTAGAAATCAACAGGACATAAGACGACTACCAACAGAGATTCGAAAAGAAATTGATGCCGAGATAGGAGATGTTCGATTTACTCCCTATCAATTCAATTATTTGACATTAAATCGATTTAGTTTAATACCATTCAGGGGAGTATATTTGTTAAATTCAGATAAATATCTATTCACCATATCAGAATAATCCAATGCTGAAACTACTTGGACCTAGGCGTCATTCTATCTGCTGATCTTTCCTGGTTGTCTCATATCTTGGCGATTTCTAAGAAAATATTCCGTCTTACCTTCTACATCAAGAAGTTAAAACATTCTGGTATTACCCAACCCCTACTCCTACAATTCGTTAATTCTCGCATCCTGCCTATTATTCTCTATTGTTCCCCCTTAGTTTTTCCTGGGCTACTGAAGAAAGACTATAACATATTACGCAGGATGTTAAATGTTGTCAGCAGGGTAAGCAACGTGCCACTTAACCAGCTTGTTAATATTCTGGTCGACAGACACATGGACTCATGTGAAAAATGGACCAAATCCATTTTATCTAACTCACACCACCCTCTTCACTCACAACTCTCCCCTTGCATCTCATCAGGTAAAACCAGAAGCCTACATAGAAAACTATATGCTCGCACCAGCAAGTACAAAAACTCAACCATACCCTACTTAGCTCGTGTTCTGTGTGATAAAGAAAGCATTAGGCGTGACACCTGTAATTCATTAAATAGTCAGTAGTAAAACTGGATCTCGTCTTTCCAACTCATATCATTTATAGGTACAACATTCTCTTTCTTTCTGTTCCTTTTCTCTATCTCTTTTTTTCCGTTATGTGCTACTTTGTTTCTTTCTCTCGCTTACGCCAGTAAATATGACACCACCTAATTTTCTAACACCTCCAAACACTGTTCAGCTTTACCTTTGCTACCGACATGCAAATGTGTTTTTGTAATAATGAACTGAGATTTCCTTAATCTATGTAGAATTCTATTTATTGATAATGTACCAACTGGATGCAATACTGTGGTAAAAATGGTGAGAATTCCATTCTGTATCACATGTACTATTTTGGAATAAAGCAAATTATTATTATTATAAATGATAAGATCAACGGCATATTTAATGAAATTAACTTTGGAAGAATATGGAGAGTCATGAAAGAAATGAAAGAAAAAACAAATGGAGAGAGTACAGCCCATCTCAAGGTGTATCAATTTCCACTAGTAAAGAAGTAGGGAGCTTTCCATCTGATAAAACAGTATGTTGTATTCTACCTGAGAAATAGGAAGGCAATCAGCCACCTTGTAACCCAGGATTCAGTGTGTGTGTGTATATGTGTGTGGGTACGTACTGAAATCAGTTTGCTTAGTAAAAGTGCCCTAAGGATAGGGTCAAAAGAAACAATGTAATCTAAAAAGGAGGCTCGAACAAACAATATTTAATCAAATAAATATAAACAATATTTACCTTTTATAATAATATTTTTATTAAACACATAAATTGTTTGTTTATTTTCTTGATTTTTAAATGTACATTCCACAGTAACACTTCCAGTTAAATAGTAAACAGATGAATTGAATGGTGGTCCAATAACAGCCTTATTATAACATGATTTAATTGATATCAAGGGATGGATTGCTGATGAAAGGATACGTGCTTCCCAATAACCGCTATACAATGATTCAGACCATTCAGGTAACAGACCACATTTGAATGTGTTATTAGTACCAATATTAACTATACCATCTAATTCATCATATCCATTAATTGTACCGGTTTTTACACCATCTGTAATACAGTAATAACACTATTACATTTAAACAGCTTTCACCGAAAAATTCAGGAAATAAAAGTTACTTTTGTGCAGATTTTTTAACTTTTTATTCCATCACATTCACAGTGGAACATAGGGCTTCAAGCTAGAGGCTTGAAGATTCTGTAGCAGTGTTTATTTTTACAGGATGGGGTTGCTAGCCTCATGCCCAACCTTTCCTCTTCACCAGCATTATTTCTGGCTTGGCGAGGTAAAGGAGTGCGTCGGCCGGGGATCGAACCCTGAACCATGTGCATGGTCGGCGAGCGCCTTAACCGCTATGCAGCCGACGCTGTGTGTAGATTAATCGTGGTTTTCCATCTGAACTGTTAATGTATCAACAGAGCAAAGTTGACGGATGCTTTTCGCCTTCGGGAGGCTTTTTTGTCTTAAACTCTGTAGAGGAGTTTGCATGAATTCCTCTTACGTATTGAGCGACAACCGGGTATTAAATATACATGTCCATTTACAGCACTCCTTCCTTATTGATCGACTGTTACGTTTTTCGTAGACAACCGGGATAATGTTCTTTCACTCAAACGATCTGTCGGTCGGTCGGTTGGTTTTCGACATAGAACTTTGCACATATGTGCGCCAGTTCAAGTCGCCACACTCCCTCCTTGTAGCACACAAAGCAAGAGAAGAAAGTAGAAGCAATGCATAATATACACAGTAAGCAGAGATGTGGGACAAAGGTATAGTAATAACGAAGAACAAAACAGTTTCATTGGAAATGATAAGTCACAAGGAGTGGATGCATCTGCGCCACTGAGAACGATTTTGAGCCATGTCACCAATTGTTTCCAACCATTGGCTTTTACCGTCCCGAAGACCCCAACCTGTCAGGAAGTCTACACCTTCCTACATGGCTTAGACTAACTGTTGTGGATTTCATTGACTGGTGCCATGTTTTGGTTTGACGACCGCTAGCTCTTTACCAGCCTGACCCTATATCAGCTAACATTGCCCATTGTGGAGGAAGGCGATGACTAGGCATACGTAACACATGTCCTAACCATCTCAGTCGATGTAATTTCACAGTCTCGTCTATCGATTTCCCCGCCTTACCTAGCACTCAACCGAGGCCTAACCTCAATAGTGCTCACCTTATTACACCACTTCACGTGGGAGATAGAACGCAGACACCTATGATCGAAGACAGCTAATCTTTTCATGTCTTCTGCTCTCAATGGTCAGATCTCACAGCCATAAAGGAGGAAAGAGTGGACTGTTGAGCAGTACACACTCCCTTTGATCGATAGTCCGATATTACGTCTACGCCAGAGACGGCGTAAACTGGCATATTGCATCGTGAAAAACCACTATCCTAAATTATATTCATTTACACAATATGGGCTGCTTGAATTAATGGTTGTATATAGTACCAGTATTAAGAAATCAAAGCAACTTGTTTTGGTATTGGCCAGTTGTATCCATATCAAAATTTATTAATCCGAAGGGAAATATGCATAGTGAGAATACTGAGGGAAAGAACGACTTAAGCGAAAGAAAATTTTCTTTATCACTGGAAAATGATAAACCTCTAAACTTAACATTATCAGAAAGCTGGTCTACTCTGGTCTTGACTGACCTACTGAGTGTTCCTACCCACAGTCATTGCAAACAACCGGCTGTAACTGTCTGTACTTCCTTATATGTCCAACGAAGATCATCACAGTGTGTCTTACGGCAATGATTTTAGCAGATGTTTTTTCAATGACACAGCTCACAGTTATTTCCAAGAGTAAATCCATACTGATTGTTATTATTATTATTACGATTCCTGAATGACATATAGGCCTATAAACATTGAAATTTCAGTAGTCGTAGTGTTTTATTTGTCCGACGCCAAACCATCCCTCTTTTCTCAGTCTATTGCAGAATAGTAAGAAACTAGGCGAGGTTTAGAAATGCCTCGACTGGAAATCGAACACGAATCTCCAGCGTAGCAGGTAAGCATTCTACCAGTGAATCACGGACGCACAATGTCAATACTGAGACATGCTTTGTGTCTCAGGTGGAACATTCGGCTTCAGCAGCACATCTCCACTTCGTCCCTTTCTCTGTGGTCCTCTTTAGCTAAGCCGACGATTGACTATAGTCTGTCATCTTCTTCTCTCCAAATGATCCCCTCCATATTACCCTCGGACGCACGCCCTAATTGTCTTTTCCCACTAGGGTTCCACTCGACCGATGGCCTCACGATGGAGTGATGCAATTTGACAGTCTCTTCAGCGTGTGCTCGATCAATTTCTCCACCTTCTCCTGCATATTCGTTGAACAATAGATTCTAGGTTGATTCACTTCCACAGTTCCTTTTTGTTAATTCTTTGTGGTCAGCCAGCCATTTGATTCTAAATATGGAGCCATTCAAGGGGGGTAGCTATTGATAGAAGTCTGTAGCTGACTGTTGTAAATGCTTTTCGTGACATGCAGTGCACGTTTCTGACACATATAGAAGAAGTGACTGACTTAAAATAACTTTTGAAAATCTGAATCTTGTTCTTTATGCTGGCTGAATGCAGAAGATCTCTAAACTGATTCCAGATTGGTGAAGGAGTTCCTTGCCTTTTCGACTCCGGCTTTGAAATTTTCATCGGTTCCGTCTTCAGTTGAAAAGATGGTGTCTATGTTAAGTGAAGGAAGTTGTTGGCGTGTGGGTATATTAATTACCACCGCCTAAGTTCTCTATTTTCACCTGCAGTCCTGTCTTCGCTTCCAGCCTCTTCTGTCAGTTTGTAGGTTTTCACCTGTAAGTCTTCGAGTTTGTGGGACGTTAGACACAAATCATCCGCAAATTCAACTCCAAAGAAAAATGTTAATGATACAAAAACATAAGAACAAACTCATTTTTTGATGGAATCAGAGAGGCGAAAGGACGCAGTCTGCTTAAAGCTTTTGGGAAGCCAGTCAGTTGATGTGTCCTTTTTTAATGACCGCAGAAATAAGAATTGGGACGTGGAATGTTCGCACAATATACCAAGCTGAGAAAACTGGCCAGGTAGCTCAGAATCTGTCACAGGAGATGAAATGGATGTGGAGTATAGAAATCGTTAACTGGAGAGTCAGTAATCTACTCCAGTCACCCAAACGACAACTACTAGTACACCGAGGTACTGAGTGGCTATCGTGATATTACAAAGAGCCGCCAAGTGGGAACCAACTTCCTCCTGGAGGTTAATCAGAACAAGATCCATTTCAAAAGGAAGGAGGCCTACAATCATCCAATTCTATGTAGTTACAGACATACTTTAATCGTCAATTAGTAGAGAAGTAGTTAAGGTTTTTGTATCAATACTTACCGATAATGTCAATACTTTTGTTAAATGCAAAACCAATTTCATATGCATCATATTTAAGAATACATTGAATTTTTACACGTCCTTTCAGTTGATAAAAATCGCTACACAACGGTGGTCCAATAATTGCCTCATTCTTATGATGTTTTATTGAGATAAGATTTTTTGGTCCATCAATAATGTTTGCTAGCCAAAAACTCTTTCTTCTGGAGTAGTATGAACGACCATCAGAAGTGAGCATACCACATTTGAATACATTTTTTGAACCAATACCTACAGTGATATCCCTACTATTGCGACCATTCAAAGTGCCTTTACGAAAAGTATCTGTACAATTAAAAAAAAAGAAGATGAAGAGAAACAAGTAGATGAAGAGGAACTTGTTCTTATTAATCCGCAGTCCAAAGTCATCAATTCTCTTTAAAATAGCTTCGATGTGGTCTATATGGTCGCTTTCCGTCTCACTATACACCACCAAGTCATCTCCATATACTTCTACGTTCTTCAGACCCTTCAGTAATAAGGTCATTAATCTTCTGAATGTAAATGGGGCACCTACCAATCCAAATGGCATTCGTTTAAACTTGTATTGTTTCTGTCCAACTGTGAAAGCCGTTTTACTTCGATCACTTTCTGCTATTGGGATCTGCCAGTTAGCCGATCTTAGGTCGAACACGGTGAATAACTTGGCTTTATGAAGGAGATCAAGGGTTTCTGTTACGGTAGGCATTGCACACTGTTTTACTTCAGTGAGGCTATTCAGCTGTCTGAAATCGACACAAAATCTATATTTCCCGTTCGCTTTCTTCACCAAAAGGATTGGAGAACTGTACGGGCTGTCGACTTCTTTGATTATCCCGTCGTTTAACATTTCTCTGACTTGTCGGTTCTTCTTCAAGGTGAACCGGAACTCGTCGCGATGAAAAGACTGTCTTCCCCGGATCCTTCAGTGGGATGTTATGCTTTACCTTATCACAATAACCGTATGGGTCTCCATCACTAGTGAATAAACCGGCATATTTACCCATCAGCGTGGTTAGACGTGGTGCATCTTGCGGAACAATGGTTGTGGTTTCCACCTCAGCGACTTCACTATTCTCATGTATCGCGAATTGCCCGTGTTTTGTGACCACTTTTCTATTCTTCATATCGATTACAGCTCCTAATTCTCTGAGAAAGTCTGCTCCCAAAATCGTTCGTCTTATATCAGAAGTTACAATAAACGGATATCTTATTTTTCCTGCTCCAATCTCTACAACGCAGTCTGAATAAAAGAATGAATACAGATCATTTAAGGTTCTATTTGTGCATATATGTGACCTAACTGAACTGTTGTTATCATTATTATTATTTCTTTAGGTACCGAGTGGAACATTTTCATTTCATCCGGTTTTCTGTGGTCATCTTTGGCTGGCTCCATGATTGGCCACAGGCTCTTCCGTGTTACCCTCGTGCTCACACACAACTCATCGTTTCTCATTCGGCTCCCACTTGAGGGACGGCCTAGTGCTCAATGCCATCCCCTAGGTCTCCCCAGTGTGTGTACAATCCGTCTTCACGCTTTTGCTTCAGAATATCTGTTGAACAATAGGCTATTGGTTAGTCTCTTACCAGATTTCCTTGTTGCTGATCGTTTCTGACTATCTGATCATTAATTGGTGGACGGTGACTAGCAATGGAATCCAGGATAAATGAAGCTCAGAGTAGCAAATCACTTAAGTATGTAGAAGAGGAAGATAATTGATTATCCTTCCTAGATATATTGCTTAGTCGATGGAACGATAGAACAATAAAACAACCTACCTATAAGGAAAACTTATCTGGATAGGACAATATCTTAATTATCATAGTTTCTGCCCTGTCTGATTCAAAAGGGTTTTGTGAGATGTCTCTCAGTAGAATGCAACGAATATACACTGAAGACAAATTTGTTAATGAAAAAAGAGACAAGTGCATAAGGAGACAAAAAGTGGTCAGTGGAACAGCAAGACCCACCCATTTTCCAACTCGCCACTAAGAAAGACGTTTATATCAAGCTATCCTATGCAGTGGTGATCATAGCAGCTTGGTAACTCGACGGAGATTGAACGCTGTGGTTAAAAAAAGACTTTTTATGCAGAGAAGATCAGAATAACTGAGAATATGAAGCCCATACATCCAACTAAACCTTTAGAACATGTGAAAAATGGTGTCACATCCTCCCACTGTAATTATCAATTTAAATGTACTTCTGGGAACACATACATAAGAGGGAGGACTGATCAATCTCTACAAGTAACTAAAGGCTTCAGAGCGTATTCCTAAATGACTTCAGAAGAACGATGAATTCCTCAGAACCCATCAATGATGAGAACAGATGACGACCTTGCTTATCTATTGCAAAATAAATTAAAACAAAAAAAAAGAAATTACAGGATTTTCATCATGAGCTGACATTAGTTTGAGAACCATTGGAAAACCTGGGAGTACTGGACAGCTATTTCGTCCTAGTTTGGGACTCTTCATCAGAAGGCACCCACTGGGATTCGAACCAAGGACCTTCTGGTTACTAGGCGAGCTCGTATACCATTAAGCCACTGGGACCCGATCCAATGGCCCATGAATTCTAACTACTGGGTTCGAATCCCGGCGGGTGCGTACTGCTGAATAGTCCCAAACTAGGACGAAACAGCTGTCCAGTACTCCTAGGTTTTTCAATGGTTCTCTAACTAATGTCAGCTCAGGATGAAAATCCTGTAACCAATCAAATCCCTACAAACCAACACTTGAAAAGAAATTAACTTACTAACAATTTTAATAATTTTCACTTTTGAATATATTTCTTTTTTAGTTTGACGATCAGCAAAACTGCATACTACTTCAACTTTTCCAGGTTTTGTATAGACAATATGGTTATGCGGTGGTTGAATAACACTTGTACGATTAATTGTCTTTAAACTGATTATATCAGTGTCACCGCCAATAATATGAATTAACCAATAACCATTATTATTATATTCATAAATTGAATTATTCTTCTCGTGTATTTCATGATCACATTTCATACGCATATTTGTACCAAGTGTTAAACGATTTTCATGCTCATATAATAACTGTATAGCTTCATCTAGAGGTAAAGTAAAGCCTGTGTTTATGTGAATAAGTGAAGTAAGCAAATAAGTGAAATCGGTGGGTCGGTCGGTCGGTTTTCGACATAGAACTTTGCACATATGTGCGCCAGTTCAATGCGCCACACTCCCTCCTTGTAGAACACAAAGGAAGAGAAGAAAGTAGGAGAAATGCAGAATATAGTCAGTAAACAGAGGTGTGAGACAAAGGAATAGTAATATCGATGAACAAAACACTTTCATTGGAAATCATAAGTCACAAGGAGTGGATGCATCTGCGCCATTCAGAACGACTTTCAGCCATGTCACCAATTGTTTCCAACCATTGATTTTTACCGTCCCGAGGACCCCAACCAGTTTGGAAGTCTACACCTTTCTACGTGGCTTAGACTAACTGTTGTGGATTTCATTGACTGGTGCCATGTTTTCGTTTGACCGCCGCTAGCTCTTTTCCAGCCTGGCCATATATCAGCTAACATTGCCCATCGAGGAAGGCGATGACTAGGTATACGTAACACCTATCCTAACCATCTCAGTCGATGTAATTTCACAGTCTCGTCTATTGATTTCCCCTCCTTACCTAGAACTCGACGTCTAACCTCAATATTGCTCACCTTATCATACCACTTCACGCGGGAGATAGAACGCAGACACCTATGATCGAAGACAGTTAATCTTTTCATGTCTTCCGCTCTCAATGGCCAGGTCTCACACCCATAAAGGAGGATGGAGTGGACTTCTGAGCAGTACACATGTCCTTTGGTTGACAGCCAGCCGAATAACACGTCTACGCCAGAGATGGCGTAAACTGGCATATGCGAAACTAGCCCTCTGTATTCGTGCTGAGATTTCGTCGGAGATCAACCCGTTGGGGCTGATGGTACTTCCCAAGTAAGTGAAGCGGTCAATGTGCTCTACCACTTCACTTCCTATTTCTAGTCTAGGAATCGGTGTAGTCCAATCCTGCAACATCATCTTACATTTTACAGGGGCGAATCGCATGCTAGCCAAAGTTGATAGACAGTAATTTACGTCAATGTTTATGTCCCAAATATTGGTCATGTGAAAACAACAGCAAAGACTGACTCAACAACCAATCACAGCAAACTTTGTTTGCGCAAACGGATACAGTTAACAGAGAGATGATCTGACACATTCAAGAAACAGCCACAAAGAGATGAAAGATGCACTTTCAGTGAGAAACAACCACCAATCAGAAGACTGTGTTTGTCTACTAACAATAATCTATAATAATGTACATGAAAATCTATAAATATCTGTTGATTTCGTAGATAAACGATCTGTTGCCTGACCCTTGTCTTCTGTTGTTACAATATTACTTGATGGATAGTGACTAGAATTAGAATGGTGATAAGAGGACACTAGAAGATCTGGATTTCGTAGATTATATATATGTCTAACGTCACACAAACTCGAAGACTTACAGGCGAAAGCCAACAAACTGAAAGAAGAGGTTGGCAGCGAAGACAGTACTCCAGGTCGTGAACACAGAGAAGACAGAGGTGATGAAGATAACCAACCAATAACAACAAGAATAAAAATAAAGCAAGCATCATCAATCATCACCAGTGGGAGAGATTTTGACAGAGGTTAATTCCCTCACTTATCTGACTAGTAAACACGGTTTCAACCACAGGCAGGTGGAATGGATGAAGATGTCGAAGGCAGCTAGAATCGGAAAGGCAAGATACGCCTTTATCAAAGTGGAACCACTTTGGAAATCTTCCGCTTTCAGCATAAGCAACAAGATTCGCGTTTTCAACACCAATGTGAAGTCGGTTCTTCTATGCGGGTCAGAAACTTGCATTGAGTGTCACGGAAAGCATTTCCAACAGGCTACTGCAAACTTTTATCAACGACTGCCCACTTCGCTGGCTGTATACTGAAGATCAAATGGTAAGAAAGAATAAGTAACAAGAAACTCTGGGAACAAACCAACTAAGAGGCGATTGCTCAATAAATATATAGGAGAAAATGTTGATAGACTGATCGGGCATATGCCGTCGAATGATATCATGTGGCAGACCCTCGAGTGGGATTCGAAAGGGGAAACGACGAGTTGGTTATCCGAGGGTGACATGGAGTAGATCGTGCAAGGAGGAGATGAGAGATTATGTCCAATCGTAGACCTAGCTAAAGATGATAGCAGAGAATAAAAGATGGGTTGTTGATGGCCTATTTTCCACTAGAAACCCAAGGAAATAATAATGATAATACTATAATAATTAGAATCTCGTGGCCTAAATGGCCCATTACTTAACGGTTTGGCGTTTGAAATGATTAATGCTTGGCTCGGATCTCAGTAAGAGCACCATCACTCACACAGAGTACTGAAGGTATATCCAATAGATGTGTACAAAATAAGATGGTGTAAGCGTTCACTGGATTTTACTTCTAGTCTCACCGTCCATCACCAACTGATGTCATGTGAATCCTCAGATATCGTCAAAGCATTTGTGTACTGGAAGCCTACAAATCAACAGAGACCTCATATTTAGGTCCAGTATGATCAGTAGATGTGAAATACAACATTGACTAAAACAACTCAACTCTGAGACTATGAATAAATTCATTTACGTAGACTACAGAAAAAGGTATCATTAACATTTTTCTTCTTGGTGACTGATATCAGTAGATGGAAACCACTTGTATCAACAAGTAGTGACTAGATCAGAATGATGCAAACATCAAACGGCTGTCCTATTAGTTTCGGAACCGATCTCATCAGCAGTGCCTGTTTCAGATCACACAGAGAGTGTAATCAGTTGAAACTACATGTAATGTGGTCAGCCATTTGAGTGAACTAGTAAGTGTGAGATAGAATTCGTACATTGTCCCCCTCCAAAAAACGCATCTGATAGCCAGTGTTTAAATCACTTCAACCTAGCCGCCAGCAAGCATCACCACTTGCTTGAAAACGAGTGGTTTTCAAATACTTCTATTAAACGGTAGTATATTATCACCATCCATCTGTTATTGCTTTCATGATGGCTTTTTATAGTGTGGTGGGTGCTGTCTGCTAGACAAAATTGGTAGACAGCATTATTTACGTCAATGTTAACGTCCCATACCTTGGTCATGAGAAAAAACAAGAACAAAGACTAACTCAACAACCAATCACAGCAGACTTTGCGTGGGCGGATGCGATTCGCAGATGTATGGTCTGATCTTCAAGGAAACAGTGATAAACAACCAATCAAAAGACGCTGTTTCTCTGCTAATATTAACGAATAATAATTTACATAAAAATAGATATAAAAATATCAGTTGATTTTCTCAATAAACGACCTGTTGCCTGGCCCTTGTCTTTTGTCGTTACACTAATATCAAGCAGATCACAATATGTGATCTGCTAGTAATACTGTTGTCTTTACTTCAAACAGTGAGTTTAAGCCACGTGGGAAGGTGTAGACTCCCTGACTTGTTTTGGTACTTGGAATGATAAGAACCAACAAGAGTGGCGGCTCCAAACAATTGGTGATATGGCTCAAAATCGTTATCAATGATTGAGCAGATTGAGCATACACTCCTTGTGATTCATAATATATTCAATAAAATTATATTGTTCTTCCAGATAACTATTCTTTTTACTTTATATTTCTGTTGTTTTTTATCTCTCTTTTCAATCCCTCTTTACTCTCCTCTCTTGCTTTGTGTGTTAAATAGAGTGTGATACAACTAGAACTGCTGCACGTCTGTTCAAAGTTCTACACTGAAACCAGTTTCTAGTGTTATTCCACTGGCTTCTCTTGGTAATTGAAAAAACACCTTTCCCTATCCCTACAGTTGCAATTATATGCAATCTTTTTAATGAAATAGGATAGTAACAAAAGTGATGAGTTGTCATAAAAGTGGATGTTAATATAAATCAATACGTGAGAAGTTGTATAAGTGTATTATTATTGTTTCCTTTAATTCCTAGAGGAACAGAGGGCTTCAGCCGTGCGTCTCCATTGAGTTCGGTTCTCTGCTAGAGTCTTCACCTGGCTCCAAGTCTGCCCACATGCTTTCATCTCCTCTTCACATGACCTCCTCCAAGTCACCCTTGGACGATCAGCTCACCGCTTCCCTTTCGGGTTCCACTCGAGCGATGGCTTGTCGAGTGATGTCACTTGATGGTTTCCTTAGAGTATGGCCAATCCATCTCCATTTCCTTCTGCATATTTGTTTCACAATCGGTTCCTGGTTGGTTCGCTCCCAGAGATCATTGTTGCTGATCTTTTCTGGCCGACCATCTGATCTTGAGTATTGAGCGAACACAACTGTTAATGAAGGTCTGCAGTTTGCTTGAGATGCTGTTTATGACGCGCAGTACAAGTCTTTGATCCGTAAAGTAGCACTGACTTCACATTGGAGTTGAAAATCCGGATCTTATTTTCGTTTTCATGCTGAGTGCTGTTGACCTCCACACAGACTTGAGAGTAGTGAAAGCTTTTCTTACTTTCCCGATTCTTGCTTTGATATCCTCGTCAGTTCCGTCTGCCTGTAGTTGAAACGATGCTTCCCAGGTCGGTGGGTGAAGGAGGTTGTTTCTTTCAGATTCCTCCCATTTATGCTGATCGTTGTCTGTTGTTGTTGTTCTTGTCCAGGAATCTTCATCACCTCAGTTTTCTCTATGTTCGCCTGAAGGAGTATCTTCTCTGGATGCTTCTTCTGCCAACTTGTTGCTTTTCGCTTGCATATCTTCCAGTTTGTGGGAAATCAGACATATATCATCGGCGAAGTCCAGATCCTCCAAGTTTTTTGTGAGGGTCCATTTTCCGCCTGTTTCCTCGTTGCCCGCTGTCTTTCGCGTTATCCAGTCTCCTGGAATTAGGAAAAACATTGGTGATAGTAGGCAGCCAGCTTGTCTTACTCCTGTCCTCACTTCGAAGGTTTCCGTAAGTTCCCCGTATTAGAGTTACGTAATAAGATGAGCAATTTAATGGATTATTTTTCATCAAGATTCACATAGAAACAAAGGAAAATATGAAATTACGAGTTTTCGAGTATTTGGTTTTGTAGGGGTTTTGTTTAATTGGTTGGAGGATTTCATTATGAACTGACATCTCTTAGAGAGCTATTAAAAAAACCTGAGAGTACTGGACAGCTCTTACATACTGCTGAAATTTCCTAAACTAGGCTGACGAAATAGCTGCTGTCCAGTACTCCCTACAAGTTTTCCAATGTTTGTCTAACTGATGTCATCAGCTCATGATAAAATCCTCCAACCAAATACAAGAGTTATAATGCGTTAGAAGCACACAAGCAGACAAAAAATAAAATTAGTAGAAATCAACAAAGTTGTTATCATGATAGTAGAAAGGGTTGAATAATTTTCTTTTCTGTGTATGGCTACACTTTTCCCAGTTGAATTGTTAAAGCTTCAGTGATACAAAGAAGACGGAAGAGAGTGTTGTCTTTGCCATGTTATTCTTCATTTTGTAGATAATTTCTGAAGGAAGGGTTTGTTGAGATGGAATGGCCAGTGTTGATGAGGTGTTTGACTATTGCACTCCTTATAGAATCAATATTACCTTTTTGCAGTCGCTATTGACACGTCTACTTCTAGTCCAGACGCTTCGACAGTGCCTTGAGTTTAATTAACATGGAGTTGTTTCTGGTGACACTCGTTAGCAATGGAATCTAGGAGGTGAGTTTTGTACACTCTGCCACCCATCATCTGGATGCACCTATGCCCCGAGTGAGTGACTGGACAAAACTCATTATTAGTATTCCCTTGCGTTCTGAGTAGAACATAGGGCTTCAACAACACTTTGTTCTGTTTTCTGCCATCCTCTTCAAGTGGGATCACGATTGACCATAATCTCTCATCTCTTCCTCGCATGATCTCCTCCTTGTCACCCTCGCCTTGACGACCGACTCTTCGTTTCCCATCAGGATTCCACTCGAGCAGTGGCCTGGAGCACGATTTTATTCGACGGTCTCCTTATTGGCAAATGCCCGATCAATCCATCTCCATTTTCTCCTAAATATTTTTTGAGCGGTCGGCTCTTAGTTGGTTTTTTCATCACCAAAGTTTCTTGTTACTTATTCTTTATGGACATTTGATCTTCATTATGGAGCCATCGAAAGCAGCTGTTGATGAAAGTCTGCAACTAGCTGTTGGAAATGCAGTGCGAGTTTCTGCCTCGTATGGAAGAACCAACTTGACTTTGGTGTTGAAAATCCAAATCTTGTTGATTTAGGCTGAGTCAGTGTAAAAGATTTCCAGACTGTTTCCAAGTGGATGAAGGCGAGTTTTGACTTTGCAATTCTGTCTTTGATATTTTCATCCATTTTGTCGCCTGTAGTTGAAACGATGCTTCTTGACCAGATAAGTGAAGGAGGTAACCTCTGTTAAATCTCTCCTGTTGATAGTGATTGGTGTCATTTGTTGTTAATGTTGATTGAATACGTTCATCACCTCCGTCTTCTCTGTGTTTACCCGCAGTCCTGTTTTCTCTGTCTCTTCAGCCAGTTTGTTGGTTTTCAGCTGCCTGCAAGTCTTCGAGTTTGTGTGACATTAGACATATATCATCTTGCGAAATCCAGATCTTCTAGAGTCTTCTTATCAGTCGTCCAGCGTATTCCTGACTCCTCGCTTCCAAAAGTCTGACACAATCCAGTCCGCCACAGTTAAGAATGTCATCGGTGATAGCAGGCAGTCAGCCTTGTCTTACTCCTCTATGCACTTCTAACACCTCGCTGAGAATAATCTTAGAATAAACTAAAGTAATTCGTTGGATGGTGAATAACAGTAGAATCTAGGACAATGCACATTTTATCCTATTTGGGAATGGCTCGTCAGCTAAGTGTACCTACATTCCCCAGTGAGTGGTAGAGTTGCCACTGAGGCTCAAACCTAGAACTCATCGTTTCAAACACCAAAGCGTTTTTAAAGCTAAAAATGAATTAAATGATAACTGATACCCTTGGACATGAGGTAGCTGTCGTCGTCTAAATGGTCTAATGGATAACGCTTTGGCATTTAAATCGATGTGTACTGGATTTGAGCCTCAGTGGGGACACCATCACTGACTCACTGGGGAATGCAAGTACATACGGTAACTGATGAGTCCCAAACAGGACGAAATTCTCGTTATCCTGGATTCCACTGCTAGTCACCATCCACCAGATTACTTCAGTTTAAATCCTAAGACACCTCCGAGGCATCCGCACAAAGAGGAGAAGGAGTAGGAGGTGACATGTCAGCCTAAGGTCGGACACTTCGATTCAGTCAGTCAACCGGATAGTTTAAATTGAATTAAGGAAATAAGAATCATATTGCCTTAGAAAAAACAATAATCAACATCTTTTAAACTAAAAACAGACGTTCAAATATCTTACCATGAATAGTAATCGTCTTGTTAAAAGCAAAGATTATGCTGTTTCCATGCACGGACTTTAATTGGCAGTTAATTTGAACAAAACCTGTTAAGTCATATATTAATTTGCCTTTTGGTGGTTGAATTATAACTTTTCGATTATGCGTCACCATTAAGATAAGGTTGTCGCTTCTAGTACTACTACTACTAGATACTACTGATTTACTAATTATTTTGCCAACCCAATAAGCGTTCAAGTTGTCTTCAATATCTCTAGGCAGTAGACCGCATGAAAATCGATCAGATGAACCTTTAGTTATGTGGATATCAGAATTATCTACACCATTTAATGTACCATCTAAATTACAGGCTGAAATAAATAAAAAAAAAGAAAATTACTGCTGTGTCAGTCATTCACAAACAATGCAAACTTATAATCATAAATAACTAATTTATATTATTGAATATTCCCATAATGTAAATTCAGAACAAAATGTTTAGAGCGAACAATTGTGGTTTCAATAAATTCTTCTTCGTCAGGCTCTATAGTTATAGATCCACACTCATTTGTTTCATAATTATTTCCCATTTTTTCTCATTTTGTGCATTATGTAATCCATTATTTTGTTTTGGTCAATTACCACCCCTTTGACATGCTGGTATTATTGTTTTCCAACAAATTTGAGTTTTCCGACATTAGGACCAATCAGGTAATTCGGATCTTTATCTTCACTGCCTATCAATTCATTCCACCCACGCACACATAAGTAGACAAATTAGTGTACTTTTTAACCAATCAGAAAAATTACTTCTTCATGAGATATATAAGAATAATTCTGGTTTCAATAAATTCTTCGTCGTCAGGCTCTACAATTATAAATCCATTAATTTAATTTAAGCATACAATAGCCAGTCAGTCAGTAAAGGCAAATTAGAATCATATCAGAAAGTGTATTGTGGAACAAGTACATGTAAGACGGGATGGAACAATAGTCAGATAGTTTTTTGATATGCATGGTCAATCAGAACATGGGACAAAATGAGATGAAGTAATTTAATTTAATGATGTGTGTGTATATATATAAATATAGTCAACAGAAATACAGGTTTCGAGAGTGTGTGTAATCAGGGTGTGTGAGACAATATGAAAATAAAACAACGAATGGGGCGGTGTAGACATAAGTTCAAAGTTGAAAATAACGACAACAAGAATGATTGTAAAATAATAACGATGATATGATGGTGTAAAATTACAAGTACTATTGGTGAATGATTGTCAAATAATAATAATAATGGATATAATGAAGTGGAATGAACAGGATTTTGTAAATACGATAGCAAGTTAGAAAAGCACTACTTAAACCGAAGGTAATAAAATCATAAGAAAGGTTATGAAATCATAAAAGTCGAAAATGAACGATTGTCAATGAAACAGAGGAATAGAAGAAGAAATGATAAGAGAATTGTGAAAGGAATTTGTAGTGTTAATGGGGGATTTGTTGGCTTTATTGTAGGCCAAGGTAAACATAGTGGTTGAACATTTATCTAGAGGAGCTCGACTACGTCTTCTATCAGTAGCTGAAGCGGTTGCAATCAATACCAAAGACCATCTCTTTGCATACAAAAGAAGTATATCCAACCGTTATGTTTACCTTGGCCTACAATAAAGCCAACAAATCCCCCATTAACACTACAAATTCCTTTCACAATTCTCTTATCATTTCTTCTTCTATTCCTCTGTTTCATTGACAATCGTTCATTTTCGACTTTTATGATTTCATAACCTTTCTTATGATTTTATTACCTTCGGTTTAAGTAGTGCTTTTCTAACTTGCTATCGTATTTACAAAATCCTGTTCATTCCACTTCATTATATCCATTATTATTATTATTTGACAATCATTCACCAATAGTACTTGTAATTTTACACCATCATATCATCGTTATTATTTTACAATCATTCTTGTTGTCGTTATTTTCAACTTTGAACTTATGTCTACACCGCCCCATTCGTTGTTTTATTTTCATATTGTCTCACACACCCTGATTACACACACTCTCGAAACCTGTATTTCTGTTGACTATATTTATATATATACACACACATCATTAAATTAAATTACTTCATCTCATTTTGTCCCATGTTCTGATTGACCATGCATATCAAAAAACTATCTGACTATTGTTCCATCCCGTCTTACATGTACTTGTTCCACAATACACTTTCTGATATGATTCTAATTTGCCTTTACTGACTGACTGGCTATTGTATGCTTAAATTAAATTAATGGATTTATAATTGTAGAGCCTGACGACGAAGAATTTATTGAAACCACAATTGTTTACTCTAAATATTTTGTTCTAAATTTATATTATGTTCATGTTATCATGTCATGCAGGTTAGTGACACAATGGCAGAATGCTGACCAAACACATTGGGGGGTGAGGAGGAGTGTCCGGTTTCAATTTCAGGCTGATATATTACTAAAATTCTCTTACTTCATTAGCTTGTAGTAAGCCTGGAACAAGGTAAGGATGAGAACCAGGTTAGCAACCCTACCTCGTAAAACAATAGTAACACTTCCGCTAGTGTGCAGTCGTGAAGAATAAGACTGTACAGTATTTTGTTAGATGCTACAAGTGGTCACATTGTACACAGCTTTTGTTTAAAACGACTTCACTGTAAATATATATATATATACATATATATGAATGGAAATATAGGCGTACTGTTCGCCACTTCATCTTCTCACTGGTTCCTACTGTCCCCTTGCTCCGCTAATCCATCCTTGTGGTCTTTGTTGGAATTTGTATCAGGAATCTCATTCTCATACGAAGACTATTCACAGTAATTGGTAGACAGCTTCTACCAGTGAACACATTCCCAGCAGTGAGATGGATCTGTGGAAGCAGTTCGACTATAACTGTATTTTCTAGTAACCAATAACTTTGATAACTCTTTATCTTTATTTTTATAATATTATTATTATTGTTTCCTTTCATTCCTAGAGGAAAATAGGGCTTCAGCCGTGCGTCTCCATTGCGTTCGGCTCTCTGCTAGAGTCTTCACCTGGCTCCAAGTCTGCCTGCCCACACGCTTTCATCTCCTCTTCACATGACCTCCTCCAAGTCACCCTTGCACTGACCACCAACTCGCCGCCTCCCTTTCAGGTTCCACTCGAGCAATGGCTTGTCTAGTGATGTCACTTGATGGTTTCCTCAGAGATTGGCCAGCCAATCCATCTCCATTTCTTCCTGCATATTTGTTGCACAATCGGTTTCTGCTGTGTTGGTTCGCTCATCGCCAGGGATCTCTGTTGCTGATCTTTTCTGGCCGGCCATCTGATCTTGAGTATTGAGCGAAGATAGCTGTTAATGAAGGTATGTAGTTTGTTTGAGGTGCTTTTTATGACGCGCAGTGCAAGTCTCTGATCCGTACAGTAAGTGGCGCTGACTTCACATTGAAGCTGAAAATCCGGATCTTATTTTTGATGGTGAGTGCTGTTGACCTCCACACAGACTTGACGTGAGTAGTGAAAGCTTGTCTTGCTTTTCCGATGCTTGCTTTTGATATCTTCATCAGTTCCACCTGTAGTTGAAAGGATGCTTCCCAGGCAGGTGGGTAGGTAAAATAGGTTGATTCTTTCAGGTTCATCCCATTTATGCTGATTGTTGTCTGTTGTTGTTGTTGCTGTTGTTGTTGTTGGCCAGGAATCTTCATCACCTCTGTTTTCTCTATGTTCACCTGAAGGAATATCTTCTCTGGATGCTTCTTCTGCCAACTTGTTGCTTTTCGCTTGCATTTCTTCTAGTTTGTGGGAAATCAGACATATATCATTGGTGAAGTCCAGATCCTCCAAGTGTTTTGTGTGAGTCCATTTCATGCCTGTTTCCTCATTGCCCGCTCTCTGTCGCATTTTCCAATCTACTGCAATCAGGAAAATCATTGGCGATAGTCGACAGCCAGCTTGTCTTACTTCTGTCCTCACTTCGAAGGATTCAGTAAGTTTCCCGTTGTGGATTACTTGGCATGCAGCATTGTCGTACAACTGTTGGATGAGATGTATAATTGTCGGTGGCACCCCATAGTAGCGAAGTAGTTTCCAAATCACCTCTCGATCGACGCTGTCAAAGGCTTTTTCAAAGTCGATGAAGCTGAGATAGAGAGGTGACTGCCATTCCAAGCTTTGTTCAATGATGATCAAAGCTTGGAATGGCTGACTCAATTTTCTTCCATCGACTTGAACTTTAATTATGATATTTCATACAGTTATCGAGCTCACACTTAAGTCTCCTACAGCCTGAAGACTCAAGTTACATTTAGAGCTGAAGGAATCACACAAACAAATTAGGTCATAATTTAACCGTCCCCTGATAATGACGAATACCTCATAAGGAATTCTACCTTCCAAAAAGAAGTATCTCAATAACTTTCTGAATATAACTACTTCACCATTCTGGCACTATACTACTCACGATAGATACCGAACTTTTACATACAAGGTGGGTTTGATTGTTGGTATTAGATGGTTGGAGGCAATCGGACACAGGAAGCCTTGCCTTGACCTAGGTTTCGTGCTAGTTGGAACTCATCAGCAAGGCGTATCTGCAACCTTGAAAAAACTGTTGTCCATTCTGAGATTCGAACCCGCATCACTCGGTGCTACAGTCAGAGACGTTACCACTCAGAATGGACATCATTTCTTTCAAGGTTGCAGATACGCCTTGCTGATGAATGCTAACTAGTACGAAACCTAGGTCCAAGGCTTCCTGTGGCCGATTGCCTCCAACCATCTAATACCAACAATTCACAGTGCACCGTAATGGCGAGCCACCTAGCATGGTGGCCACATTGCAAACATCACTGATAGGATTCAGTCTGCACCGAAGATAGGACTAGACACATTACACTAGTTACTGACTAGTGTTCAATCAAAATGTAGGTTTCAATCTAATAAGAGTACTAAAGCTTGATTTTATAATTAATTCGCCTAAACTTGTTTTTTAGTTTTTTGGAAAGCATTTTAATTTTGCAAACATAAATTGTTATGCGGAAATCCGTAGACAAGTGAGTTTCATTTCTGAAATAATCAAAGGGTAAAAGGGATGTACTAATCTTTTCTAGTTTGGTTATTTATTTCGTTACAGGATGCTCACTAGCGACTAGCTTTATTCAGAAAGGTAGTTATCTGGGTCATAGTGGGAGGTCATGACCAGCAGGGTCCATTCGGTTGGCTGTGAAGACAAACACTTGCCAAAAGATGACATTGGCTGGTGCCAGTCGCGCTATAACGTGAATTGGCAGAACTTGGAATTCATGGGCTGCTCTAGTCATTGAGGAGTCGTGTCCCGATGACTTAATGGTGGTCCATGAGCCAGTTTGACTTGCCACCGAAAGATCCTGATTTTGAACCTTGGCAGTGGGTTGATGCGTAGTCTTAAACTGGACTGACAAAAAACAGTTGTCTGTCCAGAACCCGAATGGTGGTTTTCCAATGGTTCTCTAGATGATGTAAGCTCATGATAAAAATCCTGTAAACAAATAAAAGATCGTTTACTCAAGCATATTTTGTGCATCACCAAATTAAATAAATATCTTGTACCCTTCAGAATGATAAATATTCATGAAAATAAACGACTAAATATTCAAGTATTGGTTTCGTAGGGATTTTGTTTAATTGTATGGAGGATTTCATCATGAGCTGACATCAGTTAGAGAACCACTGGAAAACCTGGGAGTACTGGACAGCTGTTTCGTCCTAGTTCGGGACTCTTCAGCAGTACGCGCCCACCGGGATTCGAACCCAGGACCTTCTGGTTACAAGGCGAGCTTGTAGACCATTGAGCCATTGGGACCCGATCCAATGGTCCTTGAATATTAACTTCTGCCAATTCACGACATAGCGCGACCATTTCGCAATGTCTTCTTAGATGAGTTACTGTCACATCTTCAACCTGCTGTACCCTACTGGTCACGGCTTCCCACTAGATGTCAGCTCATGATGAAATCCTCCATACAATTAAACAAAATACCTACCAAACCAATACATGAAAATTAATCTGATGCTCACTAGTGACTGGCCCTATTCAGGCAGTTAACCTGGGGTTCTAGTGGGAAGCCGTGACCAGTAGGGTACAGCAGGTTGAAGATGTGACAGTAACTCATCTAAGAAGACATTGCGAAATGGTCGCGCTATGTCGTGAATTGGCAGAAGTTAATATTCAAGGACCATTGGATCGGGTCCCAATGGCTCAATGGTCTACGAGCTCGCCTTGTAACCAGAATGTCCTGGGTTCGAATCCCGGTGGGCGCGTACTGCTGAAGAGTCCCGAACTAGGACGAAACAGCTGTCCAGTACTCCCAGGTTTTCCAGTGGTTCTCTAACTGATGTCAGCTCATGATGAAATCCTCCATACAATTAGACTAAATATTCACTTTATTTCACAAAATTAGCTGAATAGTATTTTTCATTTGCTGTGGGGGCAGTAACGTCAGTCAATCACGTAGAAATGGAAAATGTAGGATAACTTTAACTACACTGAAAATTATACATATATATATATTATATTTCGAATTTCTCTTCAAAATATCTAAGCTTAATGGATCAGCCTCATTTTAATTGATGAGTGCCTTGAATGGATACCTCACAGTATTACCAAAACCAATCATCTGAAGGAAGTTGCTTGTTTAGCCATGGTAGCCTGGTGACTAACGCTCTGACGATATAGGCAATGGGTGATGGGTTTAAGTCTCAGTGAAAACACACTGTTACTCACTAGGCAATAGCTACCATGAGCTGAAGAGTCTTGAAATAAGACGAAATGCAAGCCGTGTTTGCTATTCAGTACTTCATTGTTTTCAGTGGTTCTGATCATCAGTAGAGCAATGACTAAAAGTTAGCCGTGCTATGCTTTACTAAACCTTACCTAACCTGTATTGGGTCAGATAAATAGAGGACAGGAGGATGGAAGTGAGGCTAACAGCCACATTCCGCAAAAAAAAACAATAGCACTGTCACTAAAACTTCTAAAAGTTCGAAGTCCTGTGTCTCACTTAAAATGCACAGAATAAAATTGAATATACAAGTGTTGGTTTGTAGGGATTTGGTTGATTAGTTACAGGATTTCATCATGAGCTGACATTGGTTAGAGAACCATTGGAAACCCTGGGAGTACTGGATAGCTGTTTCGTCCTAGTTTGAGACTCTTCACCAGTACGCACTCACCGGGGTTCAAACCCAGGACCTTCTGGTTACTAGGCAAGCTAGCTCGTAGACCATTAAGAAGCAACTGGGACGCGATTCAATCGCCAGCCCATGAATTCCAAGTTCTGCCAATTCACGACATAGCGCGACCACTAGCCAATGTCTTCAGCGATTATTTGTCCTCACAACCAACCTTCTGCACTGCACTGGTCACGACTTCTCACCAGAACCCCAGGTAACTAGCTACCTGAATAGGGCAAGTAGCAAGTGAGCATCTCATTGATATTTAAGTGTTGGTTTGTAGGGAACTGATTGATTGGTGACGGGATTTTGGTGGTATTAGATGGTTGGATGCAATCGGCCACAGGAAGCCTTGCCTAGATCTAGGTTTCGTGTTAGTTGGCACTCATCAGGAAGGTGTATCTGCAACCTTGAAGGAACTCATATCCCCCTTGTGAGATTCGAACCCAAGTCACCCAGTGCTGAAATTAGGGACACCTACCATGAATTATGGCGGCCGGACTGCAGAAAAATTAACTGTGAGAATTCACCCTGCACCAAACTAAGGTTCTAGATACATTGCACTCTATACTAGCTAATGGTCCAATCAAAGTACTCTTCTAGTGTTTTATATACATCTGAAATTAATTTATTTAAAAAAAAATAATCATCTGCTTTTATTCATACTTACGTAGAATATCGATTTTACGTATAAATTTGTGAATGATTTCATTAGTCCCACGTTTTACTAGCAGACACTCCACTTGAGTTTGTCCACTTGTATTGTAAGTTTTACTCTCCAAAGGTGGTTCTATATATACTTGATCATCTTTATAAGATAATGATACTAATTGGGTATTTTTAGTTAGTATGTTAGCCTTCCATGAACCATTAAGTTGAGATTCTAATTCTGATGGGATAAGACCACATTTTAGTGATTTATTTGTAGCAAATGGGATAATTACATCCAAAGTATTTATGCCATTAATTGTACCTTCTAAAGGACAATCTAGAAAAAAAATATTTAGAATAAAAAACGGAGGAGATATTGACATTTAGACTAAAACAGAACGTTTGTTGTCTGAATGATGTCCACAATCTTGGATCAGGGGATTATGACCATTCTGGGGGAAATAAACTCAGTTGAAGTCAACAGAGTAAAGTTTTCAAATGTATAAAAGGTATGTGAATAATACCATTTATTATCTGTGATAATGATTATTGACTTGAATAATATCAGTTACATCAAAACAAAATGCAGAGTTTTCTGGACACCTTGAGCAGCAATCTTCGTATGTTTGGCATGCGATTCGCCCCTGTAAAATGTAAGATGATGTTGCAGGATTCGACTACACCGAACCCTAGATTAGAAATAGAAAGTGAAGTGGTAGAGCACGTTGACCGCTTCACTTACTTGGGAAGTACCACCAGCCAGTGCCAACGGGTTGATCTCCGACGAAATCTCATTACAAATACAGAGGGCTAGTTTCGCATATACCAGTTTACGCCGTCTCTGGCGTAGACGTGATATCCGACTATCGACCAAAGGGCATGTGTACTGCTCAACAGTCCGCTCTGTCCTCCTTTATGGCTAGCTGTCAGACCTAGCCATTGAGATCAGAAGACATGAAAAGATTAGCTGTCTTCGATCATAGGTGTCTGCGTTCTATCTCCCGCGTGAAGTGGTATGATAAGGTGAGCAATACCGAGGTTAGGCGTCGAATGCTAGGTAGGTGGACGGGGGAAGTCAGTCGACGAGACTGTGAAATTACATCGACTGAGATGGTTAGGACATGTGCTACGTATGCCTAATCATCGCCTTCCTCGACAATGGGCAATGTTAGCTGAAATAGGGTCAGGCTGGAAAAGAGCTAGCGGCGGTCAAACCAAAACATGGCACCAGTCAATGAAATCCACAACAGTTAGTCTAGGCCACATAGGAAGGTGTAGACTTCCTGGTTGGGGTCCTCGGGACGGTAAAAACCAATGGTTGGAAAAAATTGGTGACATGGCTCAAAATCGTTCTCAATGGCTAACGCAGATGCATCCACTCCTCGTGACTTATGATTTCCAATTAAACTGTTTTGTTCTTCGTTATTACTCTTCCTTTGTCTCACACCTCTATTTACTGTCTATATTATGCATTTCTCCTACTTTCTTCTCTTCCTTTGTGTGCTACAAGTAGGGAGTGTGGTGACTTGAACTGGCGCACATATGTGCAAAGTTCTATGTCGAAAACCGACCGACCAACCGAACAATTGCCATCCAGCGGTGAAATTCATACTCGAAATGGTGAACGAGTCTAACATTCAGTTTTTGGATGTGTGAACTAATCAAGAAGGACCGCAAGGAACTCTGAGGAGATCAATTTGTAGAAAGCTGTCACGGAATGGTCAATTGACAGATTTCTACAGCTGTCGTGTAGTCATTGGTCAAAAACGATTTCTGATCTGGTCACTTGCCACTCACATTTTACGTATATATATAGTTCTGATGCTGTGGAGGAAGAGTTATATCTTCTAAGAAGAATCCTAACGAAAAGTGCAATTCCTCCACGTTTTACAAGTGTGACTCAACATCAGTATCCAAGAAAATGATCTACGTGGACCTGGAATTTAAAGGTGACTTAGCTGCTGACCTAATTAAAAGAAGGATCTCACAGTCCCTGCAGCAGTGTTGGGAATAGCGTTTCCTAGTTAACCATTACTCCCCCCAATAAGCTGATGGACAACATCCAGTAGTTGACCAATTCAGTGTGCATTTATCAATTCACTCACTCCTGTGGAGTTAGATATATATATATCGGTCATCTGACTTGGGTATTTTGCCCAAGACGGTGCAAGAACACCACTATTCCGCATGGTTACGAAGAGGTGGAATTGAAACTATAAGAATAGAAATCACTGGACATCTATCTGGTCGATACTGGCCACCATATCTCTGCAGCCTCAGACTTTAAAGTCATCTACAAGGTGAAAAATAATTGGGCCCAAATCATCTGTATTGTTGAAGCTTTGGCCATTGAAATAGAAAAGTCAGATCTCTGTATGCTAAGAAAGTATGTCCAAACCTTTGAAATCTCATGGTCTTAATCCTTCTATGCTAAAGTGTGGTAATCCTCATTCATATTATCATTATATTATTGTTCCCTTGGGTTCCTTGTGGAACATAGGGCTTCAACTGCACGCCTCCACTTGCTTCTGTCTTCTGCTGTACTTTTCACTTGCATCCATGTTACTCCATACGGTTTCAACTCCTCTTCACACGATCTCCTCCATGTCACCCTTGGACGTCCCACTCACCACTTCCCTTTCGGGTTCTACTCAAGCATTGGCCTGACGCGCGATGTCATCCAGCGGCCTCCTCAGCCAGTGTCCAATCCATCTCCACTTTCTCCTGCATATTTGTTGAGCGATTGGTTCTTGTTTTGTTTGTTCCCATAGTTTCTTGTTGGTTCTTGTTCTTTCAGGCCATCTGATCTTGAGTATAGAGCGAAGACATTTGTTGATAAAGGTCTGCAACAGGCTGTTGGAGATATTCTTGGTGACCCGCCAAGTCTCTGATCCGTGTAGAAGAACTGACTGACTTGACGTTTGTATTGAAAATCCGTATTTTGTTGTTAATGCTGAGTGACGAAGATTTCCAGATTGGTTTCAGGTTGATGAATGTGTTTCTCGCCTTCCCGATTCTCGATTTGACATTCTCGTCCGTTCCTCCTGTAGTTGAGACAATGCTCCCTATATAAGTGAAAGAAGTAACCTCTTTCAAATCCTTCCGGTTGATGGTGATTGGCGCTGGATGTTGCTGCTGTTGTTGTTGTTGGTTATTTTCATAACCTCCGTCATAACGTCATTCATATGTTGGCTCTTTATTTGTATACCTATCCCTTATTACGTCAATTGTTACTATTAATATTCTAACTTTGAATTATCCCCGGTATTATTTCACTCGTTCTACTTGTCACTGCTAAATCAAATTTTATTTTGCAACGTTAAATTCTATGCTATCAAATTTGACAACATGTTATGTAATGTTTCGTTTTATTTGCCTACTAACCCTATAATTGCACACCCCTCCTTCCAAGTTAAATGCATCCTATGAATTATTCTATATTTGGCATTAATTGTTTCGCCACTTGACATTTAACTATGATTATAATCAAAAAGATTTTAATTTCACTTCATACTATTGTTATTATTTTATGCATTCACACCTATGATTCGGTCTCTTCACAGGATATAGCATCTTAATATTAAAAACCATATATAAATATATATATATATATATTCGGTTGTACATCTTGATAGCAGATTGGTTGAAAAGGGTCTCTTCACTGAATCACTTGTTTTGACTTCCTATAGTGATTAGAGTCGAAAAAGTCTGCTAATAAGAGTCGACTTGGTGAACTGAACAGCTATCAAGTTGTTATGATGTCGCGACCTTACTATTTCATAGTAACATTCAGATGCAAGTAGGATAGGAATGCCTATACTGGACACAGACGCTCTGTTCATGACTCTTGTTTGACTATGCTAACAACAACATTATCCATCAGCTATTTGTTCCCCCCTCCCTAAGCCTGCTCTACTTAGACGAAGACACACAACAACGTGAAGTGGAAAGTGTATCTTCACTAGTATCCGTATAAGAATCAAGCTTACCAAAGAAAGTAATGTTTTATATATACATATATACCTGGCCAAGGATATAGGCGTGAGCTAAAGTATCCAGACTCACCATCTCACCATAAACATGTGATTTGTTCCTGTTTGACTGCAGATGTCACAGGTATTTTATTTTTCCAGAAAGGATTAGCAGCAAGGAACTCCATCTACGAACCAACCAAGAGCCTATCGCCAAACGAATATGCTGAAGGAAACTGGGATGGATTGGACGCATGCTGAGGAAACCTTTGAGTGAAACTGCGCGCTAGTCATACTCTCAAGTGGAACTCAAGTGGGAAAAAATGACTGGGGTGCCGACGGTGACCTAGAGGAGATTGTGTGAGGAGAAGGAGGTGACAGACTATGGGCAAATCAGGGTTCAGCTAAAGAGGATGCAGAGAATAGGAAAAAGTGGAGGTGTACTAGTGAAGCCCCCTTATTTCACTCGGAACCCAAGGGAACAACAATAGTAATAGTAATAGTACCGAAGCCTTATATTACAGTCGTGACTCAGAGGAATAACTGACCATTATTCTGCAATTAGTAGTGTTCTCTGAGCTGGTTGGTTTAGTTGCGAAGCTTTCGTCGTCCTTCTAGACAACATCTTCAGCGCCATATTTAGCACAAAGTGAAATGATTTAAATTTCTTCATGAGTGATGTAATTGCGTCTCCTGGTAACTATCTTTACATATTGACCATTTTTTATTGACTTGGATTTTAAACTTTTTGGTCACCTGATTTACTTTTTATTAGTTGGTATATTTCGTCTATATTAACATGCTTGTTAATTGCATATTCGTTTGAGTACCAGGCTTCTAGGAATTCCCTGCCAGTACTTTTGGTGTTTCCTCTGTCTAAGATTTTGACATGATCCCAATCAAATTGATGACCATAATTGTTTGTATGCATTGATACTAAAGAATACATATCATGTCTTTTCACGGCTGATTTATGTTCTTGGATTCTGATTCGAAGGGGACGCCCACTTTGGCCGATGTAATGTTTGTTGCAGTTCATACAATTTATTTTGTAAATGGTATTAATTTTATCCCCTTTTTCTGTTGGATATTTTGGTTTGCATAATATCGAATTAAGCGATTTTATTGGTTTGTGTGCTATATCTATTTATATCTATATCTATTCTATTTTTCACTTATCACACTGTAAATACTATTCGCTTTTGATTGAATAGACTCGGATTCACAACATCATTATTTGATTTCCCCTCTTTAACTAACACTACGCTTAAAGTTATTATTACTCTCCATAGTATAACACCTAACGCTAACTACCAAACGAGGACACTTACAGTGGAAAATATCCAATATTTTCAATTTCACTTTTTCAGCCACCAGTATGTCACAGCTATAAAGTAGGGAAGAGCAATTTTCTATACAGGGCACGTAATTTGTGACAGATAACTAAATATCAAGCCAGTACTGGAGATAACGCAATCTGGGAAATGTCAAACATGTTTCCGTATTTTTGATGCTGAGATTTCACCAGAACTCGGTCCATTAAAACCGATGCAACTTCCTGAAGAAAATGAAGCGGTCAAAATGTTCAACCACTTCATTCCCTATCCTTAAACTAGCGGTCTACTTAGACCAACGATGTAGCACCATCCTTCATTTGGTAGGTGCTATTCATTTTCAGAACATATTTAAGTGTTTGCTAAAGGTGATTATAAGACTTCTTAATTTTCAGCTTCTCTGCTTCAGTAAAAATATATCATTTGCGTAATCTCACTCAAAAGGAATGTCTCCGGATAATAACTCCGCCTCTGAGATACCAATAACTTTGGGAATAAATGAGCTAAGAACGGTGACATCAAGCTTTTGTGACAGACACCACTGGCTGTTATCACTTCAGCTGATAACTCTCCAATATGCTCGGTAAATTTCTATCCTCACATATGAAGTGTTTAACCTAACTTCTTACGAATTATTGTTGGAGATTCTAGAAACATATTTTGAAGTTAAGCTAATGGGAATTTCATTGGTTTAGATCTGTTCCTAGGGAAAACGGAAGTGCTCACTCCCTAAACAAAGGTAAAGTAGTATGCTAGAACTCCAGTTTTAAAGGATCTCTTCAAAATATTTAGGTTATGACGAGTTCCAGCTCCCAATCAGACAAACCTTCTGAAATTCAACATTTTAAGGAGATATGTATAGGCCATCCACATCATTCTGAGTTAATCGCTTATCATATTGTCTTCAGATGAGCGGTCTGCTGTTTATATTACACTGATGCGGCTACCAAGTACTACTAGTTGACACAAATGGTCTATTGGCACTCACCTCAACCGACAGTTGGTATTATGCTCTGCACATATAGAGGAAGAGAAGAAAGGAGCTCAAAGAAACCACGACAAACGGGAATTTTAAGGGAGAAAGTAATTACATGGAGAATAATGAGAGTTTAAATTTTATGTAAATATAAGGACAGTTATAGAAGGAAAAACTTCCCAGTACTTACCTTCTAAAAATAAAGCAAGTGGTAATAATACAGTAAGTAATGTTAGCGTGCACTGGCGTGACATTGAAATTATTATCCCTTTTAGATTTGCATTTTGTTGAATTCTAAATCTAAATAGTAAGCATAGAACACGATGGATTTCCAAAGCTTTCTGGATGCTAGTCTTTCTACTTCTAAGCAATCTCGGAATAGTATATAACTTACCAAGTATATTTATCGATTGCAGCGAATCAGAACAAAAATTTCGGTCATAACCCATGTATACCCATGCAAGCTGAAAAAATTTTAAGTTTCCAATAATAGAATGTTATGTTTACGATTGAGCAAAAAAGTTTTTTAGAAAATCCACTGAGCAAATTAGGTCAATTATAAACGGAAAAAGATTCAGATGGTGAGAAAGCCTAATATTTTATATGTTAGTTACATCCTTAGAATAAAAGCAACCATAAGTTAGTGCTCAATTGCTAAATAATTTTTTCTGACACACAAGCATTATTTTTTGAAATGTGTAGTTTCAATTTATTAATACAGATCCTTTAAATGAGCCGTGGAGTATTTGCTACTGCTGCCTTAATGCCACTGACGGCATCAGGAAAACATTGTGATATGAATGGTTGTAAATTATACAGGGAAGTGATGATAGCGGGAAATTTCAGCTCAAACTGTTGAAGTTAGAGACGATTTAGTTCTGGCTTTCTAAGAACTAATTATATGTGCTCGCACAGTTTGAAACTAAACTACTATTCATTCTGCGCTCATGCTTACATTCTGTAATGGTAATTCAAATAGGCTTCTTCAAATACAAGCCATCTTTATCACGCAAAAAATACTAATCAACTGGAGAACACATAGTAAAATTAGGTTGTTGTCAATCATTGAAAAAATGCTAGGTTTCGCCACATTTGACTGATTTCATAGATAATGTAATTAGTAAATATGCTAAAATCCATTGACTGACTTGTACTTGACTCCTAATTTACACATAAGATATTATAATTTAGTGATTGCTGAAAGTCGAATACTCGGCATCACGCTGTTATCATTTCAGTCAAGATGTGTGCTTTTTCGAAACATTTATCTGCTTGAATTCTCTAACATATATTTATTTAAATAACCCATCATCTGTGATAAGTCGTCAAAAATCTCCCTTTAGAAGATGTTGATCAAAAATCAGTCTTGAGAGGGTTGGAAATACAGTAAACACAACATGCCAAAAATGTCCTTGATATCTACTCGTTCAGTAAAACAGCCAACCGGGTATATATATTTTTTTCTGATTTTAAAGTCAGAAACCTTTACAATCCGTGACATAAAGTCTGAGATCGCTTAATATGACTGCATAAAGGAAAAAGTAGATGCTTCTGGATACTTCTATGAACTTTGGGCTTATTTATAATTTAATTCTCTACAGCACTAAGACCTTATGCCACAAGTGTGATATTCACTTAAGTTACAACTTAAGTGGTGTTATTATAATGACATAATCGAATAAACAGTCAAAGCAGTCTCTGCTTATTAGTTAAAACGTTAAACATTTTGAGAAATCATCAATATGTTATCGTCAGTCTAATGCTGTGTTGAAACAGTGCAATTTGCAGAAATATAAAATTGTTATTTCAATTATTAATATTGTCGTAAACTGCGTGAATGAAGGTATTAAAACAGAAAAAATATACTTAAATACACCTAATACACATTCAGTCAATAGAAAGACGTGAGCTAAAAGTACACTGTGTGATTTCGTTGTGGAGCAGCGCGGAAACACATTTAATATTTGAAATTGAAGTAAATACTAAACACTTAAACAAAAATTGACACTCCGTTGGCAATTTAATGTAGCCTGTTTTGATCCCAGAAATCATACCGAAATAGCAAGAAAATTCTGAAATAAGTAATTCATCTATAAACTCAGTTTTTCTGTATTAGACTGGGCAATACATAACTCAATGCCAATAATACAAGTACAGTAGCTATTGCTATACGTTTTGCGGCTATACTATTTGAATAACAAATTATCTAGTTACAAGAGTAAAATAACTTAAATGTGAAGATGATGGATTTACTGTTGTACTCCAGTAGGTAACAATCTCTAAGAAAGCGTCATTAATCAAACAAACGTTTCCAGGTTTTGACAACTTTATTGTGATATTCACACATAAGAAATCGTCTATAAAGATGCTCCTGGGTGGAGCTGCTAGCATGCAGTGTAACCTAGTGTCACCAAAATGCAATTGAGGATAGACATTATAATTTCTGTTATTAGTATTTCCTTGGTAAAATGCACAATTCATTCTCTTCTCTAAATTTCATTTTGGATGGTTTCACGATTGTCTATCGCCTCTCATACCTTCCTTATATTATTTCATCTGTCACTCTCGAACGCCCAATATGTGTCTTTTGCATTCTGGTTCCACTCGAGAACATTCGTTTTCCATTTTGGCGTCAGGCGATTTTCTTGGGGTGTGTTCACTCGATCGCCATTTTCTTCGGTTTACTTGCAAGCCGAATAAAAAGCCCTTGATATGCTCATCAACACAGCTGCTTGTTGCTGACAGGCATCTGTTCCTCAGTATGGAGCCAAGACAGCTGTTGATAATAGCCTGCAGCCTGGTGGAAAGGCTTTTGGTGACACGCTAAGTCTCCAAGCCATGCTGAAGAATTGGTGTGACATTAGTGCCGAAGATCCCAATCATATTCTTTATGTTGACTGTAGCGGATTTCCACACTAATACAGATTACTGAATGTGTGGCTTGCTTTCCAGACCCTGGTCTGGACGTCATTATCTTTGGCGCCTATGACTGAGTCGACTTTGTTCAAATTTCTTCCACTGTCAGCGACCAGTGTTTGTTACAGCTTTTAGTCACATAATTTCCTTGACTCTGTCATCTATACATGCACCTGAAACCTTGTTATCGATGCATCTTCTGCCATTGCATTGATTTCGTTCCAATTCGCGAATATGAGGACATTAAACATGAATCACCAACTATGTGAAGATACGCTATCTTCCAACGAAAGCGAAAATAATAGTGGGGACGTGGAATGTTCGTACGATGTATTAGGCTGGTAAGGGTACTCCGGAAGCCTAAGGAATGAAAACCTATTGTGTAGGAGTGCTCGGACATCACGAGAACAACTGGAATGGTTGTGGACTAGTCAAATTGCCATTTGGAGAGTCAATAATCTACTCCGGCCACCCAGGCGACAATCACAAGCGCTATTAAGGACTGGCTGTCACGATCCCACCGACAGCTGCCAAAGCTGTCTCCTCCAGGAATGTCACAGCAAGATTAGACTTGGAAGGCAGGAAGGAAGTTATCAATCATCCGACGCAACGCATAATGCTATAAATAACTCAGAACAAGGGAATGAAGATTTCTATAGGCAACTACGAACCGTAATGGATAACATTACAAACGGACACATAAAATCCTAAAGGGAGACATGAAAGCTAGAATGGAAGCAGACAATGCAATCAGAGAACTCATCGTGGGTATAGAGGTTCTTGGTGAAATGGATAGAAACAGAGAACTCTTCGCCGACTTCTGTGCATTCAATAATTTGGCAATCGAAGGAGGCGTGCACTAACAGGGGTATATACACAAGGTTGCATGAATTTCACCTTATGGACACACAAACACCAGAGAGATTTCATCTCATGGCTGCTTAAAAGGGAGAAACGCCACCTACTGGACACGAAATCAAGTAGCGGAACAGATGTGGGTACAAACCATTATCTATTCTAGTGGATCTTCAAGGTCAAGCTGGAAGCCTTCAGATAAGCTAGGGTTAAACACGGAAACTGAAGGACTAAACCAAAAAGGACACGCTCATGTAGCCATCAGAGAAAGGTAGGAAACACTATGCAGAATCTCCTAAGAATCTTAGGTGGAAGAACGTTATAACTCCCTAAAAGTGATTTTCAAGGAGACCTGCATATTATTCTTGGGACAGAAGAAGTTGAAAGACAAGGAATGGCCTTCTACAGACACCTGAGAAATTATACACGAGAGGAGGATGGTGAAACAGAAGAAGAACTACTGCAATCATAAACAAAAAAGAGGAGGCTAAGTTCACTGTACAAGGTACTGAGTAAAGAAGCAAAGAATAGTGACACAAGTACAAAAAGCAATTCTACGCCCCACTGGCAGCTGAAGCTCGGCAGGCTTCAAGTAAGACGGACTTCAGAACATCGTGTTAGATAAACAGGTTTCCATCATTCAAGGGGGAAAAAGGTGAAATCAATAAAGATCGTCAAATAAATCTAATTGCAAAAGAGTAGAGAGAGACAAATTAAACAATATGCTGATCACTCTTGGGTCGATAGTCACTTGCAACTCGTCAAGGAAAACCACCAACAGCATGCGTACAACTACCAGTGTTGCATGCAGTCAAGCTAGTGAAGTCCGGAAAGACAGGAAGACCAGACGCCATTCCCTCGGAAACATTGTAAGTGGACCCAGATACTGCAGTGTATATTCATGCGCCACTGCTGCAGAGGTTACAGAAAGAAGGGAAGGCATCACTCGGTTACAATAATGACAACACAAGCCATTGGGAGAACCAGCGTGTCACAGGCAAAATATATTTATTTACGTCATTATCATCAGGCTAAAAGATGCTCCGGATGCAAAACTCCCGCCGAAACAAGCCGAGTTCATGATAGGCAAATTACTTTCTGACCAGACTGCATCTGTGCGCATCATCATTAAAAAAACGACAAAATCGCAGGTGTACCTTTACCTCAGTTCCGTCGACTTTAGAAAGGCCATCAACAGCGTTGAATGAGAAGTAATTTGGAGACTATTTCAAAACTATGGAGTTCGTCAAATTATTATTAACTGTACTTAACAGAAATGTGACGATGCCATGTGTCAGGTGATCCTTAACAGAAAACTCAGCGAGGCGTCCGAAGCGAATACAGGAGTAAGACAAGACTGCCTATTGTCACCAACGATATTCCTAGTTTTAGGGGCTGAAATAAAAGAAAGACCGCGCGTGAGGATTGGGAAGACAGGAGTACGTTAGGCCATCAAGAAGAAGACTCTGGGAGATCCGGATTC